TCCGAAGTTATTTTAACTGAAGTGTCCGTTAAGTAATTAATAATCATGGGGGAACAAAACCTGAGGGGCCCATACAGTACAGATAACAAAAAATGTTAAGGTATGGGTATTAAGGAAATTTTGATTTAAGTTTTCAATTTCAAAAAAAAAATTTTTTTCATATTTTTAGCTCAATAATAGTAATACAAAACTGTATACATATTAAAAGAAAAAATGCTAAACCAGTACAACTCTGTTTATTACCCTAAGAAAGCCAAGCATTATATGTAGTTTATTCCCCTCAAGGGAGGTTCCTCGATGCTGGTGAAGGGCTCTTGATCTAGGAATTGGATCTGTGCTCCAGCTCCCTGAATTGAGCCTGAATACCTTCCATCCCTCCACATGCGCTGTACAATCCTATGGGTTTAGCGCTCCCCCATGATTATAATATTTATTTTAACCCTCAAGGGAGAGTCCTTGATGCTGGTGAGGGGCTCTTGATCTAAGGGCTTTAACCCGTGTTTCAATTCCTTGAATGGAGTCTAAATGTTTTCCATTCCCAGAGGCACTGTATGACCCCCTGCAGATTTAGCACTCTCCCATGAATGTAATACTATTGTTGCCTGTTTCTACTGGAGTCTTACGTTATATACTCCCCACAATGGCACGACCATCATGTCAGCATGTCGTACTATTACATACCCAAATTGTATTATCAATTCTTAGAAGTGCTCAGTACAGCATACCTTCTGAACTAAGTTGCTCCAAGTATTGTCATCGCGCAATGTACTCGAGTTTACACACTGTACGAGACACCAGCTTCTCCGTCACTTGAGGTTATGTACTGTGTTGTATACAGAAATGAAAATAGACTCAAATGGAAATTTTATTGTGATTTAAAAATTTGAAGGTAACATTATATACAGCTCTCAAATATATAAAATAAAATTATTAAATTTCATCTCTGTTAAAAATATAATAATTATATGCCAAGATTTGAAAACTTATTAAAAAATATCAGGAATGATTTTTTCTACCTATCGCTGACAATCACAAAGTGACAAAGTTTCTAGTACAGTAACATTTTTAATGAATACAGTTGCTACCCACCTTCACACCTGTTGGCAACAATGTTGATCTGATCTGCTCTATAATAAACTACATTCTATTAAACCGTGTATAGGTTTCTGGCTGTCTTCTTATCATCAGTGTCGAGGTTGGGAGACTACTCTCTCCTGTCTTCGCATCGGCCACACATGTCTTACTCACAGGTATCTCATGGAGAGGCACCCTGTTCCATTCACTTGTATGTTCTTACATTTACTTGTAAGACGAAGAATGAGGGAAGACATGATCGAAGTGTACAAGTGGAAGATGAGTATTAACAAAGGGGATATAAATAAGGTCTTGAGGATATCTCTCCAAGAGAGAACCCGCAATAATGGATTCAAATTAGATAAGTTTAGATTTCAAAAGGATGTAGGCAAGTATTGGGTTGGAAATAGGGTAGTTGATAAGTGGAACAGTCTTCCTAGTAGGATTATTGAAGCTAAAACGTTGGGTAGTTTCAAATTTAAGTTGGATAAATGCATGAGTAGTAGGTTGGTAGACAGCAACCACCCAGGGAGGTACTACCGTCCTGCCAAGTGAGTGTAAAACGAAAGCCTGTAATTGTTTTACATGATGGTAGGATTGCTGATGTCTTTTGTCTGTCTCATAAATATGCAAGATTACAGGTACGTCTTGCTACTTCTACTTACACTTAGGTCACACTACACATACATATACACATTTATTCATACACACTCATCTGAGTTTTCTTTGATTTTATCTTAATAGTTCTTGGTCTTATTAATTTTCCTTTTATATCCATGGGGAAGTGGAATAAGAATCTTTCCCCCGTAAGCATGCGTGTTGTAAAAGTCAACTAAAATGCGGGAACAATGGGCTAGTAACCCCTTTTCCTGTAAAGGATTACTAAAAAGAATAAGAAGAAGAAAATTGTCAAGTGGGAAGTTGAATGTGCGTGGATGTTGTGCAGATGATAAGAAAGAGATGATTGTGGATGTTATGAATGAGAAGAAGCTGGATGTCTGGTTTTAAAGTGAAACAAACTGAAGGGGGTGGGAGAGTTTCAGTGGAGAGGAATAAATGGGATTAGGTCAGGGGTTTCAAATAGAGTTAGAGCTAAAGAAGGAGTAGCAATAATGTTGAAGGATAAGCTATGGCAGAAAAGAGGGACTATAAATGTATTAATTCAAGGATTATGTGGAGTAAAATAAAGATTGGATGTGAAAAGTGGGTTATAATAAGCGTGTATGCACCTGGAGAAGAGAGAAGTGTAGAGGAGAGAGAGAGGATTTTGGGAAATGTTGAGTGAATGCGTGGGGAGTTTTGAATCAAGTGTGAGAGTAATGGTGGTTGGGGATTCAATGCTAAATTTGGGTAAAAATGTTATGGAGGGAGTAGTGGGTAAATTTGGGTGCCAGGGGTAAATGTAAATGGGGAGCCTTTAATTGAGCTATGTGTAGAAGAAATTTGGTAATAAGTAATACATATTTTATGAAAAAGAGGATAAATAAATATACAAGGTATGATGTAGCAGTAATGAAAGTAGTTTATTAGATTATGTATTGGTGGATAAAAGGTTGATGGGTAGGCTCCAGGATGTACATGTTTATAGAGGGGCAACTGATATATCGGATCATTATTTAGTTGTAGCTACAGTTAGAGTAAGAGGTAGATGGGAAAAGAGGAAGGTGGCAACAACAAGTAAGAGGGAGTGTGAAAGTGTATAAACTAAGGGAGGAGGAAGTTCGGGGGGGAGATATAAGCGACTATTGGCAGAAGGTGGGATAGTGCAAAGATGAGTAATGGGGGGGTTGAAGAGGGTTGGAATAGTTTTAAAAATGCAGTTATTAGAATGTGGGGCAGAGTTTGTGGTTATAGGAGGGTGGGTGCAGGAGGAAAGAGGAGTGATTGGGGGGAATGATGAAGTAAAGGGTGTGATAAAAGAAAAAGGTAGCTTATGAGAGGTTTTTACAAAGCAGAAGTGTTATAAGAAGAGCAGAATATATGGAGATTTAAAAGAAAGGTAAAGAGGTGGTGAGAGAGTGCAAAAGGAGAGCAGATGATAGAGTGGAGAGGCACTGTCAAGAAATTTTAATGAAAATAAGAAAAATTTTGGAGTGAGTTAAACAAGTTAAGAAAGCCAAGGGAAAATATGGATTTGTCAGTAAAAACAGAGTAGGGGAGTTAGTAGATGGGGAGATGGAGGTATTAGGTAGATGGCGGAAATATTTTGAGGAACTTTTAAATGTTAAGGAAGAAACAGAGGCAGTAATTTCATGCACTGGTCAGGAGGTATACATCTTTTAGGAGTGAAGAAGAGCAGAATGTAAGTGTGGGGGAGGTACGTGAGGCATTACATAAAAGAAAGGGGGTTTTAAAGCAGCTGGTACTGATGGGATCATGACGGGAAATGTTAAAAGCTGGGGGGGATATAGTGTTGGAGTGGTTGGTACTTTTGTTCAATAAATGTATGAAAGAGGGGAAGGTACTAGGGATTGGCGGAGAGCATGTATAGTCCCTTTATATAAAGGGAAAGGGGACAAAAGAGACTGTAAAAATTATAGAGGAATAAGCTTACTGAGTATACCAGGAAAAGTGTACGGTAGGGTTATAATTGAAAGAATTAGAGGTAAGACAGAATGTAGGATTGCGGATGAGCAAGGAGGTTTCAGAGTGGGTAGGGGATGTGTAGATCAAGTGTTTACATTGAAGCATATATGTGAACAGTATTTAGATAAAGGTAGGGAATTTTTTTATTGCATTATGGATTTAGAAAAGGCATATGATAGAGTGGATTAGAGGAGCAATGTGGCAGATGTTGCAAGTATATGGAATAGGTGGTAAGTTATTTAAATGCTGTAAGAGTTTTTATGAAGATAGTGAGGCTCAGGTTAGGGTGTGTAGAAGAGAGGGGACTATTTCCCGGTAAAAGTAGGTCTTAGACAGGGATGTGTGATGTCACCATGGTTGTTAATATATTTATAGATGGGGTTGTTAAGGAAGTAAATGCTAGGGTGTTTGGGAGAGGGTGGGATTAATTATGGGGAATCAAATTCAAAATGGGAATTGACACAGTTACTTTTTGCTGATGATACTGTGCTTATGGGAGATTCTAAAGAAAATTGCAAAGGTTAGTGGATGAGTTTGGGAATGTGTGTAAAGGTAGAAAGTTGAAAGTGAACATAGAAAAGGTAAGGTGATGAGGGTGTCAAATGATTTAGTAAAGAAAATTGGATATCAAATTGGGGAGGAGGGGTATGGAAGAAGTGAATGTTTTCAGATACTTGGGAGTTGACGTGTCGGCGGATGGATTTATGAAGGATGAGGTTAATCATAGAATTGATGAGGGAAAAAGGTGAGTGGTGCGTTGAGGTATATGTGGAGTCAAAAAACGTTATCTATGGAGGCAAGAAGGGAATGTATGAAAGTATAGTAGTACCAACACTCTTATATGGGTGTAAAAGTTGGGTGGTAAATGCAGCAGCGAGGAGAGGGTTTTGGAGGCAGTGGAGATGTCCTGTTTAAGGGCAATGTGTGGTGTAAATATTATGCAGAAAATTCGGATTTGTGGAAATTAGGAAAAGGGTTTGTGGAGTAATAAAAGTATTAGTCAGAGGGCAGAAGAGGGGTTGTTGAGGTGGTTTGGTCATTTAGAGAGAATGGATCAAAGTAGAATGACATGGAAAGCATATAAATCTATAGGGGAAGGAAGGCGGGGTAGGGGTCGTCCTCGAAAGGGTTGGAGAGAGGGGTAAAGGAGGATTTTGTGGGTAAGGGGCTTGGACTTCAGCAAGCGTGCGTGAGCGTGTTAGATAGGAGTGAATGGAGACGAATGGTTTACTTGGGACCTGACGATCTGTTGGAGTGTGAGCAGGGTAATATTTAGTGAAGGGATTCAGGGAAACCGGTTATTTTCATATAGTCGGACTTGGTCCTGGAAATGGGAAGTACAATGCCTGCACTTTAAAGGAGGGGTTTGGGATATTGGCAGTTTGGAGGGATATGTTGTGTATCTTTATATGTGTATGCTTCTAGACTGTTGTATTCTGAGCACCTCTGCAAAAACAGTGATAATGTGCAAGTGTGGTGAAAGTGTTGAATGATGATGAAAGTATTTTCTTTTTGGGGATTTTCTTTCTTTTTTGGGTCACCCTGCCTCGGTGGGAGATGGCCGACTTGTTGAAAAAAAAAAAAAAAATGCATGATCGAGAGGGGTTGGATTTGAGTGGGACTTGCATAATGAGTAAATAGAATCATCAAAACTTATTTCTTGGGTAGCATTGCAAATTGGGTTGGGCAAATATTTTGTTAATGGGAAGGATTGTTAAGGACCTGCCTAGTATGGGCCAACAGGCCTGCTGCAGTGTTCTTCCTTTCTTATATTCTTGTGTTTTTATGTTCTTATGTAATTGTCAGGTTCCAGTTTCTGTTAGCCACATTCTGTTGGACTGTCCACTCTATCAACGAGCATGCAGAATTTACCTCCAACATTGTCACCGCTCTACTGTCCTTACTTTAACTTCCCTTCTTGCTGATAGACCCTTCTTTAACCCAGACTCTCTCACTGACTTTTTGACAGGAACTGATTTACTGCACAAACTCTGATGACGATGCCTCTAGTACTCCTCACGGCCCTTTCTACCTCAATCTCTTGCTACCATCTACCCCTTGCTCTGTCCACTGCCCTGCTACACTCCATGACCTAATAATCATCCCTCTCCCTCTTGCTACCCATTACTCCTGCACCCCTCCTTGCCCGGCAGTGCTGTATGACCCTTGTAGGTTTAGTGCTTCTATTTGATTACAATAATAATTAATGAATACAGTATTAACAACATCCATGTTTAGAAAGCGCATCACTGCTGTAATGTTGACTTAAAAGATGCCAGCATCCCTAGCCAAACTGCTAAAAATAGAGTTTTGATCCGCTAGTAAGTTGTCTGGCGAGTCAAATTCTGCCACCTTTCCTTTCTCTAGTACCAGCACTCTGTAAAAAAAGATGAAGAATTATTGTAGTAAGTAGATCATTTCAAGAATTAATTCTTAAATTTAAGATGAGTCAAGGACTATCCATTATTATCAAAGATATATATATTTCCCTAGGGATATAAGAGTGTTGGTAAAACTATACTCTCATACATTCCCCTCTTTGCCTCCACAGACTCCTAAGTGCACCGCTCACCCTTTTCCCCTCATCAATTCTATGATTCACCTCATCTTTCATAGACCCATCCGCTGACACGTCCACTCCCAAATATCTGAATACGTTCACCTCCTCCATGCTCTCTCCCTCCAATCTTTCATCACCTAATCTTTTTGTTATCCTCATAACCTTACTCTTTCCTGTATTCACTTTTAATTTTCTTCTTTTGCACACCCTACCAAATTCATCCACCAGCCTCTGAAGGCTGGAGGCAGTGGAGATGTCATGTCTGAGGGCAATGTGTGGTGTGAATATAATGCAGAGAATTCGTAGTTTGGAAGTTAGGAGGAGGTGTGGGATTACCAAAACTGTTGTCCAGAGGGCTGAGGAAGGGTTGTTTAGGTGGTTTGGACATGTAGAGAGAATGGACCGAAACAGAATGACTTCAAGAGTGTATCAGTCTGTAGTGGAAGGAAGGCGGGGTAGGGGTCAGCCTAGGAAAGGTTGGAGGGAGGGGGTAAAAAAGGTTTTGTGTGCGAGGGGCTTGGACTTCCAGCAGGCATGGGTGAGCGTGTTTGATAGGAGTGAATGGAGACAAATGGTTTTTAATACTTGACGTGCTGTTGGAGTGTGAGCAAAGTAACATTTATGAAGGGGTTCAGGGAAACCGGCAGGCCGGACTTGAGTCCTGGAGATGGGAAGTACAGTGCCTGCACTCTGAAGGAGGGGTGTTAATGTTGCAGTTTAAAAACTGTAGTGTAAAGCACCCTTCTGGCAAGACAGTGATGGAGTGAATGATGGTGAAAGTTTTTCTTTTTCAGGCCACCCTGCCTTGGTGGGAATCAGCCAGTGTGTTAATAAAAAAAAATTAATAATATATATTTTATTAAAGTCCCAGGTGGGATAAAATTAATTATAAACAACAATTGGAAATAACTGTAAACAACAAACTTTATAAAGTTTAAGGTGAAACATTTACATTATATTCATGGCAGGGAGGAGTGCTAAACCCATACGGGTCATACAGTGCCTAAGGGAATGAGAGGTTTACCTGGAGTTTACCTGGAGAGAGTTCCGGGGGTCAACGCCCCCGCGGCCCGGTCTGTGACCAGGCCTCCTGGTGGATCAGAGCCTGATCAACCAGGGTAATCAGATCTGATCCAAGGAAGAGGAGCTTTACACTAAAGGAAAGAAGTAATGTACTAATGCACTGTTTCTCTTCACAGCTTTGTAACTTAAAACATGACTCACTTTTTCTTGTTGAAGAGTCTCAAGTAATGAATTTTATTATGATTATTACTGCCTTAGAGAAAAGAAATAAACAAGTAGAGACAATCCTGAAAGCTAAAAGTAAAATTAAAGTATGAAAAAAGAGCATAAACTGGAGTGGCATTTTGTAAGAAATATTCAACTGCTGGGTTTTATTTTATAAATGTATGAAAGAGGGGAAGGTACCTAGGGATTGGCAGAGAGCATGTATAGTCCCTTTATATAAAGGGAAAGAGGACAAAAGAGATTGTAAAAATTATAGAGGAATAAGTTTACTGAGTATACCAGGAAAAGTATACGGTAGGGTTATAATTGAAAGAATTAGAGGCAAGACAGAATGTAGGATTGCGGATGAGCAAGGAGGTTTCAGAGTGGGTAGGGGATGTGTAGATCAAGTGTTCACATTGAAGCATATATGTGAACAGTATTTAGATAAAGGTAGGGAAGTTTTTATTGCATTTATGGATTTAGAAAAGGCATATGATAGAGTGGATAGAGGAGCAATGTGGCAGATGTTGCAAGTATATGGAATGGGTGGTAAGTTATTAAATGCTGTAAAGAGCTTTTATGAGGATAGTGAGGCTCAGGTTAGGGTGTGTAGAAGAGAGGGAGAATACTTCCCGGTAAAAGTAGGTCTTAGACAGGGATGTGTAATGTCACCATGGTTGTTTAATATATTTATAGATGGGGTTGTAAAGGAAGTAAATGCTAGGGTGTTCGGGAGAGGGGTGGGATTAAATTTTGGGGAATCAAATTCAAAATGGGAATTGACACAGTTACTTTTTGCTAATGATACTGTGCTGATGGGAGATTCTAAAGAAAAACTGCAAAGGTTAGTGGATGAGTTTGGGAATGTGTGTAAAGGTAGAAAGTTGAAAGTGAAATAGAAAAGAGTAAGGTGATGAGGGTATCAAATGATTTAGATAAAGAAAAATTGGATATCAAATTGGGGAGGAGGAGTATGGAAGAAGTGAATGTTTTCAGATACTTGGGAGTTGACGTGTCGGCGGATGGGTTTATGAAGGATGAGGTTAATCATAGAATTGATGAGGGAAAAAAGGTGAGTGGTGCGTTGAGGTATATGTGGAGTCAAAAAACGTTATCTATGGAGGCAAAGAAGGGAATGTATGAAAGTATAGTAGTACCAACATCTTATATGGGTGTGAAGCTTGGGTGGTAAATGCAGCAGCGAGGAGATGGTTGGAGGCAGTGGAGATTTCCTGTTTAGGGCAATGTGTGGTGTAAATATTATGCAGAAAATTTGGAGTGTGGAAATTAGGAAAAGGTGTGGAGTTAATAAGAGTATTAGTCAGAGGGCAGAAGAGGGGTTGTTGAGGTGGTTTGGTCATTTAGAGAGAATGGATCAAAGTAGAATGACATGGAAGCATATAATTCTATAGGGGAAGGAAGGCGGGGTAGGGGTCGTCCTCGAAAGGGTTGGAGAGAGGGGTAAAGGAGGTTTTGTGGGCAAGGGGCTTGGACTTCCCGCAAGCGTGCGTGAGCGTGTTAGATAGGAGTGAATGGGACGAATGGTACTTGGACCTGACGATCTGTTGGAGTGTGAGCAGGGTAATATTTAGTGAAGGGATTCAGGGAAACCGGTTATTTTCATATAGTTGGACTTGAGTCCTGGAAATGGGAAGTGCAATGCCTGCACTTTAAAGGAGGGGTTTGGGATATTGGCAGTTTGGAGGGATATATTGTGTATCTTTATATGTGTATGCTTCTAAACTGTTGTATTCTGAGCACCTCTGCAAAAACAGTGATAATGTGTGAGTGTGGTGAAAGTGTTGAATGATGATGAAAGTATTTTCTTTTGGGGATTTTCTTTCTTTTTTGGGTCACCCTGCCTCGGTGGGAGACGACCGACTTGTTGAAAAAAAAAAAAGTATGAGAATCATGATAGTCATCATTTGATAAATGAGATCAATAGAAAAATGACAACTGACCAACCATGAGATTATGGTAAAAGTCATCAATATCTTAAAAACTGGTAAAAACTAATAATTCTATCTGTAATGATTATCATAGCTTCATATGGTTGATTTAATTATTATTACAAAAGAGTATACCATTGGGAAAGTGCAACTAACCTGTCATAGTCCATAATGGTTTTGAGACGGTGAGCAATGGTCAGCACCGTACACTCTGCAAACTGTGAACGGATGGTAGCTTGGATAATGTCATCAGTTTCCAGGTCAATGGCTGCAGTTGCTTCATCTAACACCAGAATCCGAGACTTGCGCAGAAGAGCCCGAGCAAGACACACAAGCTGCCTCTGTCCAACACTGCAAATTGGTAGTTGATCAGCACACCAAATAAAATAAATAGGTACCTGGATGTTAGTCGACTGGTGTGGGTCGTATCCTGGGAACAAAACTGACCTAATCTGCCCAAAACGTTCTACATAACAAGGGGCTTTCTACATAGTAGTCAGCTAGGCCTGTATACCTTGTACATTCTTTCTTCTTTCAACGCACCAGCCATATCCCACTGAGTGTGGGGTGGCCCAAAAGAGAAAAACGAAAGTTTCGCCTTTTAAATTTAGTAATATATACAGGAGAAGGGGTTACTAGCCCCTTGCTCCCAGCATTTTAGTCGCCAATTACGACACACACGGCTTACGGAGGAAGAATTCTGTTCCACTTTCCCATGGAGATACCTTGTACATGTACTTGTAAAAATAAAGACGAATTATTATTATTATTATAAAGTAACAATAACTTACAAAAACTCATGTCCATGGTCTGTAAGAAATTTTCTGCAATGAGAAGGCTTTTCTTGCAAGTGCACTGGTCAAATCCATATCCTTTACCTTGTTACAGTATGTCAGCATAGTTGCTGATCCTCCTTTACATGTGTTGTATGCATAGATTAGTTGAGTATCATAGTACCATCCATGTGTTTATATAGAAGATCCCATAGGCCTGTGATTGTATGATGTCACGGGATACAGCATGTGAGTGAGACGAGCTGCCTCGCTCTCACTCGGCGTTTAGACATCCAGGCAGTGACACGGCAGGCTGGGCCCATCCATTCCTTACCACAGTCTGACAATATATATTGTTACCATCCAACAAGTGAGTTTACCTTATCCATCATATCTCCTTAAGAACCCCTACGACAAATTGGTGGCAATGGAGGGCCTGTAATTCTGACGATTACAGCGATTTCTGGAGATAAATTTCTACTGAGCCGGCCGCCATCTTGTGAGTAGGCCTGCCGAGAAGGTTAAAGCTCGACCTAGCCAGCCAGCTACCCCCGCAAGCGTCTACCAGCCTCTACATTATTCACTGGTCAGTCTCCTTGTATTAGTGTTTATCTGCTTATTTGCATCACTCCCGAGGGGTTGACCCGAGTTTGCAAAGTAAACCAGTAGCCAGTCTGTGGTGAGGGAGTCCAGTCCAGCCTAGCCTACTCCATCCAGCCTTTGCCTGCCAAGCCAGCTTTCCACCCCTGCTATGCTCATCGTCAGAAGTTATCAAGCTATTCTGTATGAAGGGTTAAGATAAGCCAAGCCAGCCAGCAACTAACCCAGGTGACTAACCCAGTACTCAAGCAAACCACGTGGGTACAGTCTTCATCGCTTGTGCTTCAAGCTCCAAGCCATTCTGAGTGCTTTTTCATCCCTGTGGTGTTGTGGTATTTCGTGGGTTTGTTTTAAGCCAGCCAGCTTAGAGTTTGCGCGCCAGTGAGAGTGTCCCCAGTGAGGCTTACGCCGTTCATCCCATAGGCCCAGTTACCACGTGGTCTCGCCACCGCGGCCTCAGCCCTGCCTCAGCTGCCTCACTCACCAAACCACTACCACTGTTTGTAGTCTTACTACGGGTCCTAGCACCATATTTTAAGGACCACATAGGGGGTCAAGAGCTAGAGTGTGTCTTCGTCAGTGGCGCCACCGTTGAAAGCCTCCTGTGTGAGTCAATTGTCGATGTAAGCGCAAATTCTACGATCACGTGTGGACAGTAGCCAGCCGCAAGACGATATAAACATCCTCCACCACCATCTACCTAATTCTTCACCAAGTCGTTACAGTGATAATATTTTTCATAGAGACATTTGCGAGTGTTGAGACATTTCTTTTTGTGTTTCCAGTGATTTCTTAGTGACATTCAGTAACTCTTGATTAGACTCAGTGTTCATTATATACTGTTCGCAATATTTTTTTTTTATCTTCTTAATTCAGTGTTAATTTTTGTGCATAATTTCATGTCTGTTGTGTTGTGCTTCTTTTTTTTTTTAATACTTGAAGTAAGTACCTTAGTGTTTTTTCCTTGTGTGCAACACATATGAGCAGTATGGAACTTGTGTTTCCACTTCACAATCACCTTGTGTTCTCAGTATTCCAGTGAAGTAATTCAGTAATTTATTACCTTATATTCTGCATCATAACTCAGTGTTATGTGTTATATTTTCCTCCCAGTATCTGTGTATTCTTGCCAGTTTATTTCATTTTTCTCAGTGTGTTGAACATTTTTGTGTTAATTCTTTTCATTTAGCCAGTGTCTAATTTGTCTTATTTCCACAGACAATAGTGCCATTGTTTTGTGCAAGCAAGACAATTATTATCAAATTTTTCACACATCAAGTTTCATATCAAGAAAATTCTAGTATTGTGTTTATATTGATGTGTTGTGTTCTGCACCACTGTAAGTGTTCAAACCTTTTGTTCTGTGTTTTTGCACCTATTATTTTTCATGTTTCATTGAACAAATTCACTCTTAGTGCAATTTTTAAGTTGTTCATTTAAAGTAAATTGTTCTTTTGCTTGTTCAGTAAGTGTTGCTTAGTTGCAGTTAAGAGTTAAAGTGTTCCCTCAGTTCATTCCCTGCTATATTTTCTTTCCTTGTAAACTGTATTTTCTTGTGTGTGTAATTTTTTTTTATTATTGCACATTGACTCATTTTGCAATAATTCTTGTGCAAGCATTGTGTTGCCATTTAAAATTTTTCTTTCAGACATTTTATGTAGTGTTGTGCAGCACTTTTGATTAGCAATTGTTATTTGCAATATTGCTACAGTTTATTTCAGTGCAGTTTCTTATGCTCTGTTCTGTGCATAATATTTTATTCTTTGTGTGCCATTTTATTTTATTTTTAGTGAATTGTTTCTCCCAGTTTGTTTTAATTTTGCACAAGATTTATTGAGTCCATTTTAACATTTTTGATTGATTCATCATTTTACTGTCGAATTTCCCTATTGCATTGAGAGTAAAGACAACTCACTATGCCACTAATTCAATTTACAGTAAATTTGAGCAAATTAGATTTGAGTAAAGGACAAGTTCTCTTGATTTTCAGTGTTGTTTATTCAGTTGAGTACAGTGGACCCCCGCATAGCGAACTTAATCCGTGCATAGCGAAATGTTCGCTATGCGAATTAATTTTCCCCATAAGAAATAATGGAAATAAAATTAATCCGTGCAAGACACCCAAAAGTATGAAAAAAAATTTTTTTTACCACAAAAAAATGTTAATTTTAGTACACACAAACTGAAAAAGGCATGCACAATTACATGACACTTACTTTTATTGAAGATCTGGTGATGATTGATGGGATGGGAGGAGGGGAGAGAGAGTGTTAGTGTTTAGAAGGGGAATCCTCTTCCATTAGGACTTGAGGTAGCAAGTCCTTTTCCGGGGTTACTTCCCTTCTTCTTTTAATGCCACTAGGACCAGCTTGAGAGTCACTGGACCTCTGTCGCACAACAAATCTGTCCATAGAGCTCTGTACCTCCCGTTCCTTTACGATTTGTCTAAAATGGGCCATAACATTGTCATTGAAATAGTCACCAGCACGGCTTGCAACAGCAGTGTCAGGGTGATTTTCATCCATAAAAGTTTGCAGTTCAACCCACTGTGTCACTACAATTTCCTTAATTTTTGTAAGTAGGCACAATGGATTCCACAACTGGCATAGGCTTCTCAGGGTTAGCCCAAACCCTTCAAAATCTTTCTTAATTTCCATACTAATTCTCACCCTTTTTACCACAGGTTGGCACTAGAAGCTTTCTGGGGCCCATGGTCACTTATTTTCCAGAAACAGCACCGAAAACACTGTAATAATACGAAATATTCCGAGTGTATGCTTGAATGTTACCGCGGAGGCTGGCTGGTAAACAATGGGATGGGCGGCACATGTGAGGCTGGCTGAGGCCGCACATTGGACGCGTCTCGGACGAAGGTCGCTGAGCGGGTTTTTGTCCACTATGCGGGGCAAAATTTTGGCGAACAAAGCGTTCGCTATGCGGATTGTTCGCTATGCAAGGCGTTCGCTATGCGGGGGTCCACTGTATTTTCTTGTGTGAGTTTCCTTGCTGGAGGTGCTCCTCCAGCTCACACATAATACTGTACAGCCTTGAAGTGTCACAAGTAACAGTACAAATTTCCGTTGAACATGTTTGCCTCTGGTTCCAAAGCAGGGGCTGCTGCAGACAAACCATCACATGGTTTTTAAACCAGAGTCTTATTTGTATTCACCAGTCTTGAGATTTGGCAAAACAGTGTAAAGGTGTGCTTATCTTTACTGAATGAAGACATTTTGTACAAAAATAGTTTTAGTCTGCATGAAAAATCCTAAGTCACGAGATACAACATTTTTTTTTTTTTCAACAAGTCGGCCGTCTCCCACTGAGGCAGGGTGACCCAAAAAAGAAAGAAAATCCCCAAAAAGAAAATGCTTTCATCATCATTCAACACTTTCACCACACTCACACATTATCACTGTTTTTGCAGAGGTGCTCAGAATACAACAGTTTAGAAGCATACACATATAAAGATACACAACATATCCCTCCAAACTGTCAATATCCCAAACCCCTCCTTTAAAGTGCAGGCATTGCACTTCCCATTTCCAGGACTCAAGTCCGACTATATGAAAATAACCGGTTTCCCTGAATCCCTTCACTAAATATTACCCTGTTCACACTCCAACAGATCGTCAGGTCCCAAGTATCATTCGTCTCCATTCACTCCTATCTAACACGCTCATGCACGCTTGCTGGAAGTCCAAGCCCCTCGCCCACAAAACCTCCTTTACCCCCTCTCTCCAACCCTTTCGAGGACGACCCCTACCCCTCCTTCCTTCCCCTATAGATTTATATGCTTTCCATGTCATTCTACTTTGATCCATTCTCTCTAAATGACCAAACCACCTCAACAACATAACTGAAATAATATCCGAGTCCAAGTCTTTTCACCATAATGCCAAGTGTAAGTTATTCAACTCACAGTTGATTACTATTTTAAGTTCAACAGTAGATTGTTATTTAAAAGATATATTGCATAACAACTCTTAAGACTCACACAAGTATCAAAATGTGCAACTCCCCTGCACACAACCCCATGGCAACACAGTGCATGCGTGTATTCAGATACCAGCTAGTTAAGGACGAAGTCTACAAAATACAGTGATTAAACAACACAGTCCTAGAACAGGCTAAGTCCACAAGACTGAGTCCACACTAGTCAATAAGGAATTAGAGTTTAATACACTCAAACATAAATAAAAGCTAACAACATGCAAACTGAGTCAAAGTCAATCCCAAGACATATAGTATATGCCACTTAAGCACACAGTATGTCCACACAGGAAAGATTCATTAAAAGATACAATACTGTAGACACCTCTGTCTACACCGTAAGTTCACAATGACATAATGTAAGATGTGTGTGAATAAAAGTGTAGCAGTGTTTTAATGATACTCTGAATGAATTTCTGAGAGATGACTCTTCCTCTCCGTGGCTATATTCAACAATCTAGTTAAAATGACAAGAGTCCACACTATGGACATATACTGCAGATGTAAGACAATGATGTATGACCCTTGTAGGTTTGGCACTTAGTTATGATTGTAGTAATTTTTTTTTTTTTTTTTTTTTTTCAAGTCGGCCGTCTCCCACCGAGGCAGGGTGACCCAAAAAAGAAAGAAAATCCCCAAAAAGAAAATACTTTCATCATCATTCAACACTTTCACCACACTCGCACATTATCACTGTTTTTGCAGAGGTGCTCAGAATACAACAGTCTAGAAGCATACACATAAAAAGATACACAACATATCCCTCCAAACTGCCAATATCCCAAAACCCCTCCTTTAAAGTGCAGGCATTGTACTTCCCATTTCCAGGACTCAAGTCCGACTATATGAAAATAACCGGTTTCCCTGAATCCCTTCACTAAATATTACCCTGCTCACACTCCAACAGATCGTCAGGTCCCAAGTACCATTCGTCTCCATTCACTCCTATCTAACACGCTCACGCACGCTTGCTGGAAGTCCAAGCCCCTTACCCACAAAACCTCCTTTACCCCCTCTCTCCAACCCTTTCGAGGACGACCCCTACCCCGCCTTCCTTCCCCTATAGATTTATATGCTTTCCATGTCATTCTACTTTGATCCATTCTCTCTAAATGACCAAACCACCTCAACAACCCTCTTCTGCCCTCTGACTAATACTTTTATTAACTCCACACCTTCTCCTAATTTCCACACTCCGAATTTTCTGCATAATATTTACACCACACATTGGCCCTTAAACAGGACATCTCCACTGCCTCCAACCGTCTCCTCGCTGCTGCATTTACCACCCAAGCTTCACACCCATATAAGAGTGTTGGTACTACTATACTTTCATACATTCCCTTCTTTGCCTCCATAGATAACATTTTTTGACTCCAATATACCTCAACGCACCACTCACCTTTTTTCCCTCATCAATTCTATGATTAACCTCATCCTTCATAAATCCATCCGCCGACACGTCAACTCCCAAGTATCTGAAAACATTCACTTCTTCCATACTCCTCCTCTCCAATTTGATATCCAATTTTTCTTTATCTAAATCATTTGACACCCTCATCACCTTACTCTTTTCTATGTTCACTTTCAACTTTCTACCTTTACACACATTCCCAAACTCATCCACTAACCTTTGCAATTTTTCTTTAGAATCTCCCATAAGCACAGTATCATCAGCAAAAAGTAACTGTGTCAATTCCCTTTTGAATTTGATTCCCCATAATTTAATCCCACCCCTCTCCCAAACACCCTAGCATTTACTTCCTTAACAACCCCATCTATAAATATATTAAACAACCATGGTGACATTACACATCCCTGTCTAAGACCTACTTTTACCGGGAAATAGTCTCCCTCTCTTCTACACACCCTAACCTGAGCCTCATTTATCTTCATAAAAACTCTTTACAGCATTTAATAATTTACCCCCTATTCCATATACTTGCAACATCTGCCACATTGCTCCTCTATCCACTCTATCATATGCCTTTTCTAAATCCATAAATGCAATAAAAACTTCCCTACCTTTATCTAAATACTGTTCACATATATGCTTCAATGTAAACACTTGATCTACACATCCCCTACCCACTCTGAAACCTCCTTGCTCATCCGCAATCCTACATTCTGTCTTACCTCTAATTCTTTCAATTATAACCCTACCGTACACTTTTCCTGGTATAATCAGTAAGCTTATTCCTCTATAATTTTTACAGTCTCTTTTGTCCCCTTTTCCCTTTATATAAAGGGACTATACATGCTCTCCGCCAATCCCTAGGTACCTTCCCCTCTTTCATACATTTATTGAACAAAAGTACCAACCACTCCAACACTATATCCCCCCTGCTTTTAACATTTCTGTCATGATCCCATCAGTACCAGCTGCTTTACCCCTTTCATTTTACGTAATGCCTCACGTACCTCCCCCACACTTACATTCTGCTCTTCTTCACTCCTAAAAGATGGTATACCTCCTGACCAGTGCATGAAATTTACTGCTCTGTTTCTTCCTTAACATTTAAAAGTTCCTCAAAATATTCTCGCCATCTACCTAATACCTCCATCTCCCCATCTACTAACTCCCCTACTCTGTTTTTAACTGACAAATCCATATTTTCCCTTGGCTTTCTTAACTTGTTTAACTCACTCCAAAATTTTTCTTATTTTCATTAAAATTTCTTGACAGTGCCTCTCCCACTCTATCATCTGCTCTCCTTTTGCACTCTCTCACCACTCTCTTTACCTTTCTTTTACTCTCCATATATTCTGCTCTTCTTATAACACTTCTGCTTTGTAAAAACCTCTCATAAGCTACCTTTTTCTCTTTTATCACACCCTTTACTTCATCATTCCACCAATCACTCCTCTTTCCTCCTGCACCCCCCCTCCTATAACCACAAACTTCTGCCCCACATTCTAATACTGCATTTTTAAAACTATTCCAACCCTCTTCAACCCCCCCATTACTCATCTTTGCACTATCCCACCTTTCTGCCAATAGTCGCTTATATCTCACCCGAACTTCCCCCTCCCTTAGTTTATACACTTTCACCTCCCTCTTACTTGTTGTTGCCACCTTCTCTTTTCCCATCTACCTCTTACTCTAACTGTTAGCTACAACTAAATAATGATCCGATATATCAGTTGCCCCTCTATAAACATGTACATCCTGGAGCCTACCCATCAACCTTTTATCCACCAATACATAATCTAATAAACTACTTTCATTACGTGCTACATCATACCTTGTATATTTATTTATCCTCTTTTTCATAAAATATGTATTACTTATTACCAAATTTCTTTCTACACATAGCTCAATTAAAGGCTCCCCATTTACATTTACCCCTGGCACCCAAATTTACCTACTACTCCCTCCATAACATTTTTACCCACTTTAGCATTGAAATCCCCAACCACCATTACTCTCACACTTGATTCAAAACTCCCACGCATTCACTCAACATTTCCCAAAATCTCTCTCTCTCCTCTACACTTCTCTCTTCTCCAGGTGCATACACGCTTATTATAACCCACTTTTCACATCCAATCTTTATTTTACTCCACATAATCCTTGAATTAATACATTTATAGTCCCTCTTTTCCTGCCATAGCTTATCCTTCAACATTATTGCTACTCCTTCTTTGCTCTAACTCTATTTGAAACCCTGACCTAATCCCATTTATTCCTCTCCACTGAAACTCTCCCACCCCCTTCAGCTTTGTTTCACTTAAAGCCAGGACATCCAGCTTCTTCTCATTCATAACATCCACAATCATCTCTTTCTTATCATCTGCACAACATCCACGCACATTCAGACTTCCCACTTTGACAATTTTCTTCTTCTTATTCTTTTTAGTAATCTTTACAGTAGTAATAATACTAATAATGTGTTTGTAAGCCTAGGTTAATAAGAGACAAAACAACAGTATTGTCACCTGAGGTTTGCACCTCCTTCATCAACAGTATGCTGTAGTCCAAGTGGTTGCCCTCGAACATAGTCACGGAGGTGTGCCAGCTCTAATACTTGCCACAAAGAATCATCAGAGTGGGTTCCAAAGGGATCAAGGTTTAGCCGAATAGTCCCACTAAAGAGTACAGGCTCCTGGAAAAAGGTGCAGTAATTGCATTTATGAGATCTTTTGACAAGATTTTTTTTTATCTGTACTGCATCTGACATTATTAATTACACATTTATGTCTGTGAATAAAAGTTCAATTAAATTTAGTTAAATCCTTTCTTCAACAATATAGTACAGTCATCCTTAAATATTCATGGTCTCATGTATCCATGGATTTCAGTTATCAAACATTTTTACTGAAAGGTAACCAATGAGAAGATTTAATTAGCCAACATTTAATCTAGCCATGCCTAAATTTCTTTATTTTGATCATTATTTCTTATGAATGACAATATTAAACAGATTACAGTGATATATGGCAAAGATAGGTCTCTGAAACACAAAATAAACCCAAAACTAAAGCAAAATTTGCTATGTAGACTTAACTCTGTATTATTCACTGTACACTGTAGTGTAGGTGTATCTACACTAGTTCAATAATTATATATACCTGAGGAATAATACTGAGTTGCCTTCGTAGTTCATGAAGGCCAATCTTTGATATATCGATACCATCAATTTCAATGTGACCTCCGGCAGCTTCAATGAGACGAAACAGGCCAAGAGTCATGGAAGTTTTGCCTGCACCAGTTCTTCCTACAATTCCTATCTGAGGAAAGTTTAATATTCATATTTGTATGTTTAGCTGAACAAGAAATAAGCTTGCTGTCTCTGTCTATCTCTCTCTCTCTCTTTCTCTCTCCCTCAGGCACAAAAACCAATGATGCTAAATGAAAAAAAAGTTGTCCCCTAACAGGTAAAAACTCAATGTGAAATGCCTGCTGACAAATAATTTTGAGTAGCAAGCTGTATAAATATTAAGTTTTCAAGGAAGTTTCTTTCAAAACGTAAACAAGAGTACAGTACGTAAATAAGCCACACCTAGGAGTCTCCTATGTGTGGCTTATTTGTGTACTGTTCCAGTCATGGTATTGTGGCCTTTTTTATTCTTTAAAGTACAGTATGTTGTACTGTATATACTGATAAACAATATCTGTGTAAATTTAGGCCTAGCAAATTATAATGTAAGAACTTGATGACACTAGTATAATATTCATAATGTATGATCATTATTAAATAATAATGTTGATGTCAGTCTTATTATTTACGGTACCTTGAATAATAATGAATCTCAAACAACTTAACTCGTAAACGGTCCAAACGTATATATACGTTTTTTCAACATTTGAAAGTATGTAAAAAAGTAGATCTTTTTTTCGTTTTTCTACATTTGAAAATGTGTAAAAAAAACTTTGATCTACTTTTTTTTTTTTTGTTATATTTTAAAATATGTAAAAAAAAATTAGATCTACTTTTGTAGCACTACACATGTGAACGTAGATCTGCTTGGAACGTTTACGGGTTAAAATAACAATGAATTCAACTTATGCTTGTAGTATTTTTCTTTCTTGCCTAGAAATAACCTACAAACTTTAATCATATATAAAATAGAAAATTTGTAATTAACAAATAATAATTGTTGGACTTCCAGATAAAGTCAATGGAAAGAAATTAATAATAAAGAGAACAATAACAGAAGAGCAGTCAGAGCAAATAAGTTAAATTTTTTTTTTTTTTTTTTTCAACAAGTCAGCCGTCTCCCACCGAGGCAGGGTGACCCAAAAAAGAAAGAAAATCCCCAAAAAGAAAATACTTTCATCATCATTCAACACTTTCACCACACTCGCACATTATCACTGTTTTTGCAGAAGTGCTCAGAATACAACAGTCTAGAAGCATACACATATAAAGATACACAACATATCCCTCCAAACTGCCAATAAGTTAAATAACATATAAATAATGAGTGTAAATGTGATGTAATGGTTTAGAAAACTGACAAACTGAAGAATGAGAGACTTGTGCAATATTTGAGATGCTTTAATGAAGAAACATTTCACCAGCCAGTGGTTTCTTCAGTCCAATACAGAGAAGAATGGTGAGAGACGTGGAGGAGAATGAGGTAATCGGTCCCTCAGCCTGGAGTCAGTGTGTTCAGTCCACGGACTCCAGGCTGAGGTAATGATTATCTCTGCAAGAAGTCACTAGCTGGTGAAACATTTCCTCAATTAAGATTCCCAAATGCTGCACATGTAAATTCATGACAAGATGAAGGGAAAGAAGAAAGAGCTCAAAATATAGAACTCTACACAGAGGTTCATTTATGTAATGAGAAGCAATATTAAAGATTTCATTATTATTAATAATGCCTACCTTCTCAGCAGGCTTGAAAGTACAGGTGATACCTCGCAGTACAAGATCCAATTGAGGTCTGTAGCGAGCCTCATAGTTCACAAATACAATGCTGCCTTTCTCGGGCCATAGAGGTGACAGTTTAGGTCCTGTTGTTCTCAACTTAGTCTCAGTTTCTTTCTAGAAAAATGTTGAAAACTGAAGACTTATTTCACTTTAAAGGTACGTCAGTCCAATATTATAAGTGTCATGTGAACTAAGTGAAATATAACTTACCAAACACTGTTTGTGAAAATATATCAACATGTAATATACAGTGGACCCCCGCATAACGATCACCTCCGAATGCGACCAATTATGTAAGTGTATTTATGTAAGTGCATTTGTACGTGTATGTTTGGGGGTCTGAAATGGACTAATCTACTTCACAATATTCCTTATGGGAACAAATTCGGTCAGTACTGGCACCTGAACATACTTCTGGAGTGAAAAAATATCGTTAACCGGGGGTCCACTGTATATGTTTCAGGTATCAATTGACTTTCACAGAAGCATTAATAAGCAATTCACAGAATTTTAATTATATTTTAATAAGATGTGAAGTTATGATGTAAACTCTAGTGTATATTACAAATTTAAATAACACCAGACAGCACATTACAAATCTAAATACAATATTTCATAGTGAACAAGACGCTCCGGTGTCGAGAACTTACCCCCTCAATTCTAAGCGGCTAAATTTTGGAAAAAAAGATAAACGATACTTCAGCCTCAAAGATGCTAGGTAAATTTTCAAGACTTATACTATTTGGAAAAAAAAAAACATCTTTAATGCCATAAAATACAATAAATTCTGGATATTAAATTTTCACTTCAAATTAATGCACTGGTGCTTATGTACAATGCTTCTTTTTAACCTGCCAGCAACACTTTGAGAATTTGCCCTACTATCTGCTTTTCTTACCATTTCTATTACATTGGTGAAACAAGCCTTTGCAATACACTAAAAACAGAACATGAAAGAAATATTCACCTTGCCTTTGTCAAATCATTTTAGGGACTATAGTACTATACTGGAGGTGGGAAGTACAGTGTCTGCACTCTAAAGGAGGGGTTTGGGATATCTGCTGTTTAGAGGGACATTTAGACTGCCGTGTCTTCATGCCTCTGGTAAGATAGCGATAGTGTGAATGATGGTGAAAGTGCTTCTTTTTCGGGTCACCCTTGCGTCAGTGGGAGATGGCAATTGCATTAAAAAAAATAAAAAGGTATCCCTCAAGTTGGTGTTCTAAAATTATTCTTCCCTCTTTTAGCCTTGACAGACAGCATGATGATGATTTTTTTTTTTTAACTCGACAGCCCTCTCCTTCCAGGCAGCGTAACCCAAAGCAGAAAACACAGTCACTATCATTTATTCAATTGCCATCTTTCTTTTATGCCCAAAATGTTGTGTTTCCTAAGTGATTCACAAGTTATTCCTGGCATATTGTACACCTACTTAATCCCATTATGGGGTAAAAACTTTCAATCATATTAAGATTATAATTCCAAACAACACTGCAAAATTAATTACAATAAATCCACGGGTACTTATAAAAATGTCTTACGTACATACACACAGTAACTAGGAGAAACTTACCTGTATATAGTCTCGAATGCGTTCAACAGATACAACATCGGCTTCCATTTCTGATGTTTGGCGAACCAGCTGGCTGAGCATGTTTGTGACCTGAAGACAGGTGTAAGTCATACAACAAAGTCAGTCACATTAATGCCCCATATAATTTTGCTATATCACCATTTCTCACTGTTAACCTTGAATAAATATCAATGTTTTCCCGTACTCACATTGATGGCGTATGTTATGGAGAGTCCTACAATACCAGAACTCAGCGTATCTCTCATGGCCACAGCTAAGATAGATGCAGCTAAAGTGATGAAGTTCCCCATTAACTCTAACCTCACCCCAAGCCACCTGGGAGAGAAAATGCCATAAAGAGCTCCACTATATACCTAAAATTAAAATGCAAAAGAAGAATGCAATTCTTGTTAATAAAAGAAAAATGAAAGAGTGGAGAGTGTGCATCAGAATCCTGCAACATTACCATGATTGGGACAATACACAAATAACTCGCACATAGGAGAAAGAAACTTATAGTGGGGTTTCAGTTTGACTCGGACCATTTACAAGTCACAGTGTGACTTGTAAATGATCCAAGTCGGACCCAAACATCCTCATAAGCTTCTCTCTCCTATTTGTGGGTTAAACCATACCCCCGGCCGGGATTGAACCCGCGGTTTATTTGCAATCGTGTCATTACGATTTCTTGAGTCATTTGTGGGTTATTTGTGTACTGAAAAGCTCATATGAAGGTAAGATTTTTCAGCTTCCTCTTAGAGAGATGACACAACCAAAAGCATTAGCAAGAAAACATAATAATTATTTTTGATATACTAGTGGTTTATGTGACCACCACACCAATATCTCTAAGTACTATGCTGATTTAATGCTACAGAAGATTTTCACGCATTTAAAATTAAACCAAAGGCTTTATTATGAGAGAATAAAATGGGAGCATTGTGAATGGGTTTTCAGCAGATTCTATATACTGAAAATACAGTACAGTAGTTGTATTGTACAAGTAACAGGAACACAGAAAAATGATTTTTTGTAGCCATTTTCCTACTCGAAGAGGTATGGGGTAGGTTTAAAAATGTAGTGTTAGAGTGTTCAGCAGAAGTTTGTGGTTACAGGAAAGTGGGTGCAGGAGGGAAGAGGAGCGATTGGTGGAATGATGATGTAAAGAGAGTAGTAAGGGAGAAAAAGTTAGCATATGAGAAGTTTTTACAAAGTAGAAGTGATGCAAGGAGGAAGAGTATATGGAGAAAAAGAGAGAAGTTAAGAGATGTGAAGCAATGTAAAAAGAGAGCAAATGAGAGAGTGGGTGAGATGTTATCAACAAATTTTGTTGAAAATAAAAAAAGTTTTGGAGTGAGATTAACAAGTTAAGAAAGCCTAGAGAACAAATGGATTTGTCAGTTAAAAATAGGAGAGGAGAGTTATTAAATGGAGAGTTAGAGGTATTGGGAAGATGGAAGGAATATTTTGAGGAATTGTTAAATGTTGATGAAGATAGGGAAGCTGTGATTTCGTGTATAGGGCAAGGAGGAATAACATCTTGTAGGAGTGAGGAAGAGTCAGTTGTGAGTGTGGGGGAAGTTCGTGAGCAGTAGGTAAAATGAAAGGGGGTAAGGCAGCCGGGATTGATGGGATAAAGATAGAAATGTTAAAAGCAGGTGGGGATATAGGGGTTTGGGGGGGGGGTGGGACATTAAAGAGAATGGACCAAAAACCAAGTAAAAACCCATCTTATGAAGGGGGCTTTTCCCTAAATTTGGGGGGGGGGAAAAAATTTTTGTGTAAAAGGGCTTATTAGAGGATCGGGGCTTTTTGGGAGGAAAGGGAACAAAAAAAAAGGCTTTTAGGTACAAAAAAATTTTTATAAGGGTTTAGGAAAACCCACCTTTTATCCAATGGGATTTAATGCCTCAGAAGATTTTAGTTTTATTTAAAAACTTTATTAAAAATTTAAAATGGGGGGAAATTGGGGTGAAAGTTTTTCCCTTTTTTTATCGGGGGAATCGCCGGTGTGTTTTAATAAAAAAAAAAAAAAATATTTTCCTCCCACCCCACATGCAATCATCATAGTATGAACACAGAAAAAACACAAAGTAAGTCCACGCAAAAATAATGTTACTCAAAAAAACTGGCAAAAACTAACCTTTTTAACAACAATGTTGGTATATAATGTTTTTTGCCAGTTATCAATTTCATATTGATGCTAACAGAAGCCTTTTTCTCCCTGAATGCCGTATGGTTTAAAACGCCTCCCAACAAATGACCTAGGGGTCAATAACTGTTTGAAAAAAAGCACAGGGTGCTGACAGACCAGCAGATTAGAATTCATTGGTCATTAAATAATGAAGAAAGCTAGTTGAGTAAAAAATTCAACTAGGCGGGATTAGAAGACAGATGAGTTTCGAAAGAAAATCGGTCGTTCTCATCACTAATGCATGGATTTTATAAATTTTTCCCCTGCACAGTATTAGTCTATCATTCAAAAACCTGGTTAGATTATGAAAAGACTTGTTGAAACTGAAGGGTGCACTTGTTGAATCTGAAGGTGCTTACATGTGAGTCTGAGTTTAGGGGTATCCTGGGAAGGGGGGTTATAGCATTAATGCCAACAAGAAAATCTTTTGTTTTACATTCCAAGATGATTAATAACAATATCACGGGTGGCCTAAAATTTAAAAGAATTTATATTAAAAAAAGAAAAAAAAAAAAAGAGGGTGTGAATTATACAAACATTTGAATACTCAAACAAGGTGATGGTTTAAAAGCTAGCATAATATTTAAACAAGCCCAAAAAAACAGGGTGACCCCAACAAAAGAAAACACTTCACTGTCACTCATTCAAGCACTGCCTTGCCAGAAGGGTGCCGACATCACAGTTCAGGTGATCCTCCAAACCGCAACATCTCCACTTCTCCTTCAGAGTGCAGCTCATATTTCCCACCTCCAGGACTTCAGTCCTGGAGGTGGGATATGACACTGGTAGTTTTCTGAAAAAAAAAAGAACTAACAAAGATTGAGAAAAAAAATCACATTTAATTTAAAGACTTAATTTACAACCTGTGACAGAGGAGACTAGAAACAGGGACTGCATATAAAGGAAACAAACATGAAGTTCTATTAGACTCAGTGAAGAACAGTGATTACAAGTGACTGCGCACAACAGAAAATGATCAACAGAGCAAGTGCAGTATGCTGTAATCACATAACTTACCTTGAACAGTTTCACCGAAATGGGAGTAAATGGGCGACTTTAAAGATGACTCAATTCGCTTCAGCTGTCTAGACGAGGCCACGTACAACAGCTGAACCAGGTAGTATACACACATTATGGGCACCACAAATGCTCCGATCAAAGGAGTAGCAGCCACAATAATAATTAAGGCTGTCAATACCTGAAACAATATACATATCTATTAGTGGGAGCCTTCATTATCATCATATTTTTAACGCCTGTACACAGCACTATATATATACTTGCCATATATTCAACACTTTTTTTTTTTAACACGTCAGCCATCTCCCACCAAGGCAGGGTGACCCATCATTCACACAGGGTCACCATCATTCACACAGAGGTGCCCAGATATGCCAGTTTAGATGTCACTCCAAACAGCCAATATACTAAACCCTTCCTTTAAACTGCAGGCATTGTACTTCCCATTTCCAGGACTCAAGTCTGGCTAACCGGTTTCCCTGAATCCCTTCACAAAATATTACCCTGCTCACATTCCAACAGCTCGTCAGGTCCCAAAAACTATTTGTCTCCATTCCCTTCTATCTAACATGCTCACACATGCCTACTGCATGTCCAAGCTCCTTACACACAAAACCTCTCTCACCCTCTCCCTCCATCCTTTCCTAGGATGACCCCTGCCCTTCCTTCCCTCCACTACAGATTTATACACCCTCCAAGTCAATCTATTTTCCTCCATCCTCTCTAAATGATCAACCCACCTCAACAACCCCTCTTCAGCCATCTGAATAATACTTTTTTGTAACTCTACACCTCCTCCTAATTTCCACACTACGAATTCTTAGCAGAATGTTTACACCACACACTGCCCTTAGACACAACATCTCCACTGCTCCAGCCTCCTCCTTGCTGCAGCATTTACGACCCATATGTTACATACGTCATTACATAGTGGATGTACTTGATGTGTATCCAACAGCGAGATGAATTTTTCTCTGATTTATGTCAGGAATGATTAATGTGTGACATCTCATAGAGAAATACTGAATACCACTTCATAAAGCTACAATAAATATAGGACTGATAAATATCACATAAGTTTAGTATACATTTAGCTATATACTGTATAGCAAGCATTGCAAAAAGTGGTATTTAAGAAATGGAAATTTTTGAGGAAGCTGCCATTTTCAAGGAGTGTCCCTAAGCTAGTTACTTTTTTGAAAAAATCAAGACTTAAACCAACTGTAAGTTACTTGAAAGTTACTTGAAATACATATTTGAGAAGCTGACATATTTACTGTTTGTTTGAGAATACAGTACATACATGAGAAAAAGATATGTATTCATAAAGTTTTAGAGCAAGCAGACTAATTCCAGTCCCAACCATGCTGGTATTGACAGACTTTACTACTGTGCTACAGTATTTAAAATACGTACTCTGTATCCCACCAAGGTGGGGTGGCCCAAAAAGAAAAACAAAAGTTTCTCTTTTTAAATTTAGTAATTTATACAGGAGAAGGGGGTTACTAGCCCCTTGCTCCCGGCATTTTAGTCGCCTCTTATGGTGCACAAAAGAATATTGAAGGTCACTGCTACAACCTGGCCAGTAAATACTCTTCAAAATTATGACATACACTTGAGAAGGTATTGATTGTGGCTCTTGTGGCCCCTGGAAGAACATTGTCCAGTATGTCAATTTCTTTGCCGAATCGATTGATGATACGTCCGCTTGGGTTAGTGTCAAAGAACCTCATGGGAAAATGAATTACACTTTCTAGGAGTTGCTTATGCAGGACCTTAGCAGCCTTCAAGCAGCCCAGCATCACCAACAACATGCCCACGAAAAAGAAGAATGCTGAAAGAAACAACAAAAGATAAGAAATCTTTAAAAATATTAAGGTGGCACAGTACCCTCGAGTTAATGCAACAGCATGAGAATGTCTCAACTTCAGAAAATTACAGTAAAATCTAAATCAGCTTCCTTTACATTTTTTAGCATCTAGTGATTTTCTTTTCTGAAACTGTGGGAATCCTATAGAAGTAAAGCTACGTACATATTAACAATTCATGGACAGCTTCCACAGAGCAGTAAGCGTTGAATATTTAACACCCTTATCTCTTGAAAGTAGGTAATGAGATACTGCAAATGGAAGCCTACATACTGCATCAACACAATAGGTCTACATAAATACTCATGAGAGATATAATAATAATAATTAATAATAATAATAATAATAATAATAATAATAATAATAATAATAATATAATATCTCCATGGGGAAGTGGAACAGAATTCTTCCTCCGTAAGCCATGCATGTTGTAAGAGGCGACTAAAATGCCGGGAGCAAGGGGCTAGTAACCTCTTCTCTCGTATAAATTACTAAATTTAAAAGAGAAACTTTTGTTTTTCTTTTTGGGCCACCCTGCCTTGGTGGGATACGACCGGTGTGTTGAAAGAAGAAAGAATAATAATAATAATAATAATATCTTTATTTACTTCAAGTACATGTACAAGGTATACAGACCATAGCTGACATCAGTGACATACTACTATATAGAAAGCTGCTTGTTATGCAGAGCATTTCAGGCAAATTAGGTCAGTTTTGTCCCAGGATGCGACCCACACTAGTCGACTAACACCCAGGTTCCCATTATACTCATGGGTGAACATGGACACCAGGTGTAAAGAAACACGTCTGATGTTTAACATTCAGGAAACAAATGCTCTATGGCAACACAATACACCTTATGCTGGGAGATGTAAGTACTAGTCCTATTTTTTAGTTAACTGTCGGGTATTTATATGTAAATGAAGGTCAATATACGTTAGCCTAACCAAACCTATCCTAACCTAGAAAAGTAAATATCGAAGTTCCATGCTATGTTAGATCCAGTAAAATGAATGAACGGCAATTGTTCCGGACTATGGAGCTGAGCTTATTCTCCAGGCTGAGGGAATGACCATCTCAAAGACTACTTCTTCAAGGCTGATGAACTAATCACATCATCTTTACTATGCCACTGCTTCTGTCTCCATAGTCACCTCTATTTCTCACTAAGAAGCCTACTGTATAGGTGAAGCATTTCAACAATAAAGATAAGTAAGCAAGTAAGTTTATTCAGGTATACACAAATACAGTTAAATTATACATTGCAGCATATGTGTAGAGAACCTGGGATAACCCAAAAATGTCAGACAAAGTGACTTATTTCCATTGGGGTCCTATTGCATATATCTCTTAAACATGAGGTAATAATACAGGATGAACTTACCCTGAGCCACACCAAACACACCATACCCACTCAGGAAAGCTGTCCTCCCGAAGTTCCCTGTAGTGGCATTAGTGTTCGATGAGCTTGCCCACTGGGAGAGCCATACATTACTGCCACCTTGACTTCCCTAATGTTAAAAGAAATATACGTAGCATACATTACAACTTAACGTCTCAGTTATAGAAACAGAAGTTCAGAATGTCACTAACAAAAGTAAATGAAAAAAAAATATATCCAAGAACTATGTGGGAAATAATAAGGAGGGTATGAAAATTATCATCCGAAAACCAGAAACACAGCGGGATATGAATTAACATTGAAACTTTCAATGTTGTTCCTTCACAACGAAGGGATAATATTACAATAAGCTTTATTAAAAAACAAATAGAAAAATTCAGGATGATACTGAAGTATTAATGATTCAATAATTGTGTCAGCCTTAGGTTAATAATCAAAACTATAATTAAAGCCATATAACATGAACTAAAAGAATATTCAATTCTCTTTTATTCACTGTAAACTCACCTAATGACCACATGTACAAAATTATTACACTGTTATTGCCTTATTAATCTTAAGTTAGTCTTAAGTTTGCCCGAAATACTCTGCATATATAGGGGCTTTTGGGATGTACACCCAATTGTTATACTCCTTTGTACAAACATGTATCGTGCTGAAATAAAATTATTATTATTGTTATGCTAACTAACTACGGTACAGGTGGGGTTAGAACCCATGACAAGTGAGTGCTGTAAAACTCCAGGCCAATGCATAAGCTCCTGGGCCAGCTAGCTACAATAAGGTTCATCCAACTAGGTACGTGTATATTTATACACCATGGGGAGGTTAGCATGGGCCCCAATGGGGCCCATGCTAACCTCCCTCTGGAGGAGTTTGAGGTAATCAGTCCCTCAAACTCCTCTTCACCTTCTACCATTTCTCTGTATTGGACTGAAGAAGCCACTGGTTTTAAAAAATGTTTCCAGAATAAAGATTCCTAAGTGTTGCTCAAGTGTCTTATTTATCAAAAAATTAAGTTTGCATCTCCAATGTGGTCATGGTTGATGGTGTCCCAATAATTGAATCAGACCTATTAAAAACCCATAAAACACACTGTAAAATAGACTAAAAACAGACTATAAAACAGATGCAGGAGGGTCTTACCCATCCTCAGAAAATTAAAAAATTTCAAATATTATATCTGCTTTTTCATATTTAGGTTCATTTTGTGTTTCAGAGACCATATTTTTGTAATATATCATCTAATCTGGTTAATAATGACAATCTACTTACAGGCTTCCCTTCAAATAAGAAGACTGGATAAATAAAACCCATGAATAACTAAGTCCATGAATTTGTTGGGATGACTGTACTAAAGGAAATTGAAGGTTGGTAGACAGCAACCACCCAGGGAGGTACTACCATCCTGCCAAGTGAGTGTAAAACGGAAGCCTGTAATTGTTTTACGTGATGGTAGGATTGCTGGTGTCCTTTTTTCTGTCTCATAAACATGCAAGATTTCAGGTATGTTTATTGATACTTCTACTTACACTTAGGTCACACTACACATACATGTACAAGCATATATATATACACACCCCACTGGGTCTTCTTTTTCTTACTAGTTCTCATTCTTGTTTATTTCCTCTTATCTCCATGGGGAGTGAAACAGAATTCTTCCTCTGTAAGCCATGCGTGTCTTAAAAGGTGACTAAAATGCTGGGAGCAAGAGGACAGTAACCCCTTCTCCTGTATACATTACTCAAGTTAAAAAGAGAAACTTTTGTTTTTCTTTTCTTTTTTTAGGTCGCCCTGCTTCAGTGGGATATGGCCAGTTTATTGAAAGAAAGAAAGAAGATTTACAGTGTACTTACCTGAGCAAGAGCAATACACACAATCGGCAAAATGGCATATGCAGCTCCCATTGCCTTACCATATGCAAGGTACACTCTGTGTGACACCTGTAACATAAATAAATTTGCTCTATAATCCTAAAACCTTATTTATTTAAACTACCCCATATGACCCTTGTAGGTTTAATGCTAAGTTTTGAGTGTAACAATAATAATAGAGAATGGATCAAAGTAGAATGACATGGAGAGCATATAAATCTGTAGGGGAAGGAAGGCGGGGTAGGGGTCGTCCTCGAAAGGGTTGGAGGGAGGGGTTAAAGGAGGTTTTGTGGGGCGAGAGGCTTGGACTTCCAGCAAGTGTGCATGAGCATGTTAGATAGGAGTGAATGGAGACAAATGGTATTTGGGACCTGACGAGCTGTTGGAGTGTGAGCAGGGTAATATTTAGTGAAGGGATTCAGGGAAACCAGTTGTATTTTATATAGCTGGACTTGAGTCCTGGAAATGGGAAGTACAATGCCTGCACTTTAAAGGAGGGGTTTGGGATATTGGCAGTTTGGATGGATATGCTGTGTATCTTTATACGTACATGTATATGCTTCTAAACTGTTTGTGTTCTGAGCACCTCTGCAAAAACAGTAATTATGTGTGAGTGAGGTGAAAGTGTTGAATGATAATGAAAGTATTTTCTTTTTGGGGATTTTGTTTCTTTTTGGGTCACCCTGCCTCGGTGGGAGATGGCCGACTTGTTAAAAAAAAAAATAATAATAATAATAATGTCAACTACCCTGCAAAATTCCGCAGGAAAGACTTGATAATATAGCATTTTTACTCTGCTAACTCTTCATTATTTTTTCACTGTAATATGCAATGGGACCTCCATATCCTCAGGGGATACTTTTCAAAGACATGCTGTAGATACCAAAACCGTGGATAATAGCAAATCCTATGTATAAGTCATATACATACCTATTATTAAGTTTAATTGATAAATTCTGCACAATAAGTGGAGAATTATCAGCTTTTCACTGATGGGAAGCACTTCACAGCTTCTCTTAGGCTTTGAAGAACTGCCAGCTTCTCTACTTTTGCACTTTGGGGTCATTATTATGCAAAATTAAGAGGTATTTTTGGGTCACAGTAAACCATGGATAACTAAAACAGTGGATACTGAATCAGTGGATATGGGGTTCTACTGTATGCCTAATATTCCAAGGACAAAATTTTTATTGTAGTACATGTGATCATGGAGTCTTACCTTTCCTGTTTGTGACTTCTCCTCCTGGACAATAGTACCTCTCTTTTCCTTCATGTTCTTCGCATTATCAATAATTTTCAATTGTACATTTGTTTGATGCCTGGATGTTTTCTTCCTACCACCAACAGTGTCATATGTGATGCATTTGTGAGCTTCAGTTTGTTTAGCATTTTTAATACCATCAAACCATACTCTAGGCATCTTCTTTAAAGACAAAGAGGAAAACTCATCTTTTTCACAATCTTCATTTGGTTTCTTTGTAATATTTTCATCAGCATTTCCTTTCACACCATTACAATTGTTACCATTTGTACGTAACATTGACATGCTTGCAGAAATCTTATTCTGATGCTCAAATTTTGCACTCTCACAATCCTGTGACTCTTGGAGCAACTCTCTGCTCTTATCAGAATAATTCTTAGTAACTTTTGTATTATCCTCAGCACCACTGCATAAAGCTGTTGTTGTGTCAGTGTTACTCTCAGAGATATGCTGAATGTAGTCTTGAGGAATGGGACTTGCAATAATTTCCTTCTGGGGTGTTCTGTAAAAATTCAGAGCATTAGAAATTATGTACATGCACATACAATACTGTATACAGTACAGTGGACCCCCGGTTAACGATATTTTTTCACTCCAGAAGTATGTTCAGGTGCCAGTACTGACCGAATTTGTTCCCATAAGGAATATTGTGAAGTAGATTAGTCCATTTCAGACCCCCAAACATACACGTACAAACGCACTTACATAAATACACTTACATAATTGGTCGCATTCGGAGGTGATCGTTATGCGGGGGTCCACTGTATATGTATTTACAGTACAGTACCTATGACTCAAGAAATCATAATGACATGATTGCAAACAAACCACAGTACAGGCGGGGATTGAACTCGCAGTTTTACAATTCACTCACCAGGAGTTCAATCCCCGTCCGTACCGTGGTCAGTACCTATGAGTTTGTGGAGGCTGAGCTCCAGCTCTTGGTTTTTACTGTGTTGAATATTACAAATATCTTATAAAAAAATAGTATTTGGGTTCTGACACACTAAGAAAACAACCCTGCCCCAATAACCCCTCCTGACCCCACTTACCTACAAAAAAAAAAATTCAGTAGGACTACAGTATCTCACCCTTTTGCCTCAGTATATGCTTCTGATTCCTGCTTTCTAACGAAACCAGAGGTTTGCCAGCATGATGGACATTCCATGTCTTTTCCCTTCACTTCCATGCCCAAATTCCAGAGCCTCATCTGTTTAATTAACCCTTTGACTGTCGCAGCCGTATATATACATCTTACGAGGTACCGTGTTTGACGTATATATACTCATAAATTCTAGCGGCTTCAAATCAAGCAGGAGAAAGCTGGTAGGCCCACATGTGAGAGAATGGGTCTGTGTGGTCAGTGTGCACCATATAAAAAAAATCCTGGAGCACGCAGTGCATAATGAGAAAAAAAAAACTCCGACCGTTTTTTTAATTAAAATGTCGACTTTGTGGTCTATTTTCGTATAGTATTTATGGTTGTATTCTCGTTTTCTTGGTCTCATTTGATAGAATGGAAAACATATTATAGAAATAGAGGTGATTTTGATTGATTTTACTATAAAAAGAACCTAGAAATGGAGCTCAAAGTAGGGGAAATGTTTGATTTTTGCCAATGTTCAAAAGTAAACAAATGATGCCATTGTCCAATAAATGTCCAACTAGCCATTCTAATATGCAGTCATGAATGGATTGATGTTATTTATATAATTATTACAGTATTGCAGTAGTCTGCATAATAGTAAGTCTTCTATTTTTTGTTTGAATAAAATTTCAAAATAGAAAGCAAGAGTAACATCAGAGGGGCCTGGAGACATGACTGATGAGCAAAGAAAATGTTATTTTAGAGCCAGGAATGTCTGCATTGTTCATTCTGGACCTTATTTTGAAATTGTCATATTTTTTAGTTTTCATGAAATTGGCCAAATTGCAAATTTCTGACCACATTACGTATTAGGTAGTTGAAATCGGTAAATGGGCAGTTTCTTGTACTCAATCGATAGAAAAAATGGAGTTCTAAAGAAATAGCTATGAGTTTGGGCGACTGGAACAATGGAATTAGCCAAAAATAGGGCTCAAAGTGAGCGAAATCACCGATTTGTAAACAGCGCCGAGATCGCTAACTTCGCGAGAGCATAATTCCGTCAGTTTTCCATCAAATTTCGTTTTTGTGGTGTCATTACAATCCGGAAAAGATTCTTTATCATTTCATAAGAAAAAAAAATTTTTTTTTTTAAATTTTGCAACACCAGGAGACACCTCAGGATTGGGGGTTGCAACAGTCAAAGGGTTAAATGATGAATAAGGAGCCAGAAGTGCAGAGGCTCTCATGGATCACCTCCAGGCTATGTTTGGATCATACATCTTTCTTCTACAGGATCATGTGGAGCATGTCAATCGTTTTTCCAAGAACCCATTTTTCTAACTAGATACTTCAAGGGTGGTGTTGCTGTGATGCTGGTGAAGGGTTCTTGATCCAAGGAGTTGGAGCTATCCTTCCCTTCCTTGGATCAAACATGATTACCTCCCATTCCTCAGGTACACCTCAGGAAGATAATAATATTACTAATAATGTATTCTAAGACTTACACAAGTCAGATTTTATAAACCTTAGTCCCACTTAAGCCTAATGTAGAGAAATAAAATACTTATACTGTACCTGACACTGACGTTTTCTTCCTTCTTGTTACACTGAGATAACTGAGGCACGTAACACTGTCCCTCAGCAGTGGGCTTATACAGGCTAGTCATCCCATCATCACCTGGGTAGGAGTCTGTAGTAGGAGTAAAAATTAACAGCACAGTATGACTTAAGAGAAAAATTGCTGATAGGAATCATGAGGAGTTACAATTATTTCTATGATACAGGAAATTTAAACAAAACATTAATGCATACTATGGCACTACTAAGTAAGAGATCCATATTCTAAATGAGTTAGCACCCAGAGCAAATTACTGTCTAGTACAGAGAAAAGACAGAGTAAGAAAGAAAGGAAGCTAGCTTATAAAAGTTTTATTTTGCATTTCATAATCATACTCTGTACAGTATTCCCAAGCTTGCAGGGCACATCATAGGTGATGGAGTGAACAAGGCAACATTTACTACAAGAATTCACATCAACATTTTATATATGAATACAGGAAAGCCCCACTTTAGAGCACTTCACTTACTAGCGTTTTGCTGACATAGCGGTTTTCAATTATACCCAGTCTTCATTTATTCAGACTTCCTACAATAAATATATTCACCACTCACTATATGCTAAGGATAAAAATATTTTAAGGTAAGTAATGTGTGTACTGTACATGCCTTTTTTTTTTGGCCTAGCTCTAATGCTCACTTATTATATGATAGCATAAACATGTTATCAGGCTTTTATATGCATTTGAAAGTGAAAAAAAGGACATGATTCACTTCATAGTAATTTTTGCTTTACAGCAGCAGCCCAGAATCTAACCTGCTGTATAAATAGGGCCGTCCTTCCACCAAGGCAGAGTGACTCACCTTCATCGAAAGAATCAGCAGGTTCCTCTTTCATATGCTGGAGGTAAAAAGTAGCAAAATCATCTCCTTGTGCCATTAGTTGACTGAAACTTCCTTTCTCTACCATTCGACCATTGTTCATCACTATCACCTGATCAACGAGTGGCAGGAACGTCACTGAATGGGTCACCAAAACTCGGGTCTGCAAAATATGTTTGAAAAGCTATTAGTTAGCATAGGAAATGCAAATCATCTTTCATTTTTTGTTTTTTCACATTAATATATAGTGTATGTACCATACTACTGGTATGATAATGTGCATGAAGTACGTGTCAGCGAGACAATCATGTTAAGCACTAAGGGGTCTGGTCAGGAACTGCAAAGGTGAAAGAAACTACATAGACACAAGGAATATCAGATGAACAGTGTCACCATGAATGTTAAGATAAGGAACTGTAACAATGTGCACACCTAGTACAGTTAAAATGCAGATAACTGAAAAATTGCAACTATGATATCATTATTCAGGAAAGGTGACAGAAACAAAACCCTGAACTGCTGTTCATAATGTGCAAATTCACTCAAACCAAAAATGAACTGAAAAAATTGATAAAATGATCAAACAATAATAATACAGTGGACCCCCGCATAACGATTACCTCCGAATGCAACCAATTATGTAAGTGTATTTATGTAAGTGCGTTTGTACATGTATGTTTGGGGGTCTGAAATGGACTAATCTACTTCACAATATTTCTTATGGGAACAAATTCGGTCAGTACTGGCACCTGAACATACTTCTGGAGTGAAAAAATATCGTTAACCGGGGGTCCACTGTATATTGTATATGATTCAGCCAGTGCTAAACAGTGACACACCTTTGGAGAACACTATGCATTTAATGCAATGAACCACAATGACCCCAGTGGAAATAAGTCACTTTGCCTGATTTTTTGGGTTATTTTATGTAATTCATAATATACTGTATTACTATTCATCTCCATGGGGAAGTGGAACAGAATTCTTCCTCCATAAGCCATGTGTGTTCGTAAGAGGCGACTAAAATGCCAGGAGCAAGGGTCTAGTAACCCCTTCCTGTATATATTACCAAATGTAAAAGGAGAAACTTTCGTTTTTCATTTTGGGCCACCCCGCCTCGGTGGGATATGGCCGGTGTGTTGAAAGAAGAAAGAAAGTTACTATGCATGATAATTTTGAGTAATGTGTACCTGTACCTAAATAAACTTACTATTGGTCAACTCTAAAGTACATCATACCTTAGAGTCAACATTAACTAACAGTATCCGTGATTCAACAATAATTAACAAAGTATCACAAGAGGCAAAGATTAACATTTACCTGGTGTCTGAGTAAACCATTTGGGCCAATAATGTGATCAAAGATGTAACGACCAACATGTGCATCAACAGCACTGAGTGGGTCATCCAAGAGCAGTACGTCTGTGTTACTGTAGGTCGCTCTTGCAAGAGCAATACGCTGCTTCTGCCCACCACTAAGGTTGATGCCCTGGGAAGAAAGTCAACAAAACTTGCTACCAACAAGATATGTAAAGAATAAAAAGGCACAATACCATGACTGGAACAACACATAAATAACCCACACATAGGAGACAGAAACTCATAACGACGTTTCAGTCCGGCTGGATCATTAACTAGTGATACACTAACACACGAAGGTAAGGGAAGTATATGTACTGGCTCCCTTACCTTCATGAGTTAGTGTGTGTCTAGTTAATGGTCCAAGTTGGTCCGAAATATTGTCAAAAGTTTCTTTCTCCTATGAGTGGGCTTCTTGTGGAGAAGATACGTAGCCAAGAGTCCAGACTAACTGAATCCTAACAGGTGAAATAAATTTCTACAGAACACCAAATTCATCTAATAATAAGGTAAATCAAATCAGCTTCACTCTTAAATTTACTTTTCTTCTAGTGGCCCTAAAATTTTAGGTTATTTGTTAACTACTGTAATAAATTACTGTAACACAGCAAACTCTAAAAACCATAGTGCCCATGACAGGATATAAAAACAAAATACTTTATAACAGTTTCTTAAAAAAAGGGAAAATATACCACTTTCCCAAGTATATTATGTATGATATTTAAAATTATATAAAAAAGCAGAGATTGGACTGGGGTACCAGTTTAAAAAAAATAAATCTGTTTGTGGTAATTCTTAAAAAAAATCTAGTTTCTCAAAAAATTTTCTTTTCAAGTGCTGCTTTTTGAAGTTTAATGTATGCATAGTATAATACCTCTGTTATCAACTTATAAATTAAAAACATAAGAACGTAAGAAAGAAGGAGCACTGCAGCAGGCCTACTGGCCCATGCTATGCAGGTCCAAGTCACATTTACATTCTCTCCAATTTCAGTCATATCACCAGCAGGCAGCATATCTATGTCTAGTTGTAAAGCACACGCTCGTAAAATATCGTGATAGCGATGTTCCTCGAAAGGCAGACCCCATGTAATGTTTTCTCTTATGGTGGCATTCTGCAACCATGCTTGTTGAGACACGTAGGCTACTGTTCCCTGGGAAAATACATAAATAAATATTAGGTATATTACTATATGTAAAAAGAAGATAGATTTATAGTTTTCTTCTTTTTTTAGGTCACCGAGCTTTGGCGGGAGATGGCCGGTGTGTTAAAAAAAATAGTAAGTATATACAGTAGTGGTGTACTACGGTAAATTGTCCTAAATTTTGAAAATAAAACCTCAAATTTATAATATTCTTTTGTTATTCAGGAGAGAATATTCTAAGCTTAAAATTTAGAAAAAAAAGCTCTCTCTGGTTTGGGAAATTCCAGAGTAAAAAAGATTTTTTAATTTTAATTTCTAAATTTTCTAGCTTAAAAAATTCTGAATTTTTTTTTTTTTTTCAAGAAGTCGGCCGTCTCCCACCGAGGCAGGGTGACCCAAAAAAGAAAGAAAATCCCCAAAAAGAAAATACTTTCATCATCATTCAACACTTTCATCACACTCGCACATTATCATTGTTTTTGCAGAGGTGCTCAGAATACAACAGTTTAGAAGCATACACATATAAAGATACACAACATATCCCTCCAAACTGCCAATATCCCAAACCCCTGCACTTTAAAGGAGGGGTTTGGGATATTGGCAGTTTGGAGGGATATGTTGTGTATCTTTATATGTGTATGCTTCTAAACTGTTGTATTCTGAGCACTTCTGCAAAAACAGTGATAATGTGCGAGTGTGATGAAAGTGTTGAATGATGATGAAAGTATTTTCTTTTTGGGGATTTTCTTTCTTTTTTGGGTCACCCTGCCTCGGTGGGAGACGGCCGACTTGTTGAAAAAAAAAAAAATTCAGGATTTTTTAAGCTAGAAAATTTAGAAATTAAAATTAAAAAATCTTTTTTACTCTGGAATTTCCCAAACCAGAGTGAGCTTTTTTTTTCTAAATTTTAAGCTTAGAATATTCTCTCCTTCAGATTTTTTATGAGCTAAGAAGTTCTGAATTTTAATTAGCAAAATCTTTCTAACTTGAATTTCTTCCAAAAGCTATGATACTGCTGTCTGTGTAGTATAAAAATTTATATTATACCTTACTCTTCAGAAAATTCTGAATACGAGAACAAATTCCAAACTATAGTCTGGAAAATTCCAAACTATAGTCTTGAAAATCCCAAATCAGTATTTTTCAAAATAAAGAGCAAAATTTAACATTTCTATTATTTGAAATTAACGATAATTTGGGTATCCATAAAAATAAAATACTCTAAACAAGAATGAAATTACTGTGCATGTTGGATTAAATTATCATTTATATATCATTAAAGAAATAATCTCTCATTTAAAACTCTAACAACAATTTTTAAGCATTAAAAGATGAAGTGTGTGCTTAACAACTCATAAACGAGCAAACTGAGAGATGAACTGCATGTGTAAACTGCTACAAAATGCTCACATTTATGAAGACATAACCAGCTTCTTTAGTCATCTCTCCCAATAGTGCTGAGAGCAGTGAGCTCTTCCCCGCCCCAACCGAACCAACCACAGCAACCAGCTGTCCAGTCTTCACCTCAAGATTTATGTCGCACAGCTTCCAGTTGGCGGTTTCACTGCCAGAGCTCCAGCTGAACTGTCCCGTCACAAAAATTGATGTGTTTTCTAAAGTGAAAAAATATTTACATAACTAATTATTATCTCCATGGGGAAGCGGAGAAGAGTCCATCCTCCATACGTCATGTGTGTTGTAAGAGGCGACTAAAATGCTGGGAGCAGGGGGATAGTTACCCCTTCTCCTGTATTTATTTATTAAATGTAAAAAGAAAAAAACTTTCATTTCTTCTTTCTCTGGGTCACCCTGCCTCAGTGGGAGACGGCCAGTGTGTTAAAAATTAATAATTATATAGCAGAAAAAAAATATATTACACATGAAAAATTACAGTATATATGTGCAAGACATTGTTAAAAAAATAAAAAAATTTAGTTCAAAGAGCTTTGCTTCTTTTTATTTCTTTCTCTTGCATAAATACTTTCCATATTTCACTAGTGTGTACATTGTAATTATCTAATTTTTTTAAATTTATCTATTCTTTTTAATTTATAATGGTTGTAGCACCTATTTCAATTTATTCCACTCTATAAAGACAAATTTCATATTACCCCTGTGTCTTCATTTTTCCTTTAATTTTGATTTGTGAGATCCCCATAAATTTGAATATTACCATTTTGATTAGCATTTGCAGTACCAAGGCTAAAACCCGTCTGAATCTTTTTCTAGCAAATCCTTATGTTACTAACTTTTGGAAGGATCACTGCCCACTGCTGCAGGATCCAACTCAGAAGCAGAGATAAACTTCTGCATTCGCTTCAGCGCCACCACCGCCTGCGGAAACACAAGAGACACTTTACTGAACAACGTGATTTGAGAAAGTCATACGAAATATTTCAATTTTTTTTAGTCTAGAAAAAAGGGGCCTTTTTATTTTGGGGTAACTTTTTTTACACACCCCTTTTTGTGTAAATGGATTAATGAAGTAATTTGCTTTTATTTTTGCAATGGAATTCATCAATTGGTTTTTAAAAAAAATCACATTAGCTGTTTATCACCAAGACAGGAAACAATTCTTTTAATAATAATAATAATAATAATAATAATAATAATAATAATAATAATAATAATAATAATAATAATAATAATATTTGCTGTATAGGGGGACATCTAAACTGCCGTATTTGTGTGCCTCTAGCAAGACAGTGATAGTGTGAATGATGGTAAAAGTGTTTCTTTTTCGGGTCACCCTGCCTCAGTGGGAGACAGCCACCATGTTAAATAATAATGACTCATGAAATCATAATGACACGATTGCAAACAAACCATACCTCGGGCGGGATTTGAACCCGCGGTCAGAAAGTCTCAAAACTCCAAACCGTCGCGTTGCCACTGGACCAGCTAGCCACAATAAGATTCGTCCAACGATGACGAATCTTATTGTGGCTAGCTGGTCCAGTGGCTAACGCGACGGTTTGGAGTTTTGAGACTCTCTGACCGCAGGTTCAAATCCCACCCATGGTATGGTTTTTTAAATAATAATAATAATAATGGGTTATGTGGATTTTGATGTCAGCACACTTCTAGAAAGACAGCAATTGAATGAATAATAGTGAATATGTTTTCTTCGTTTCCGAGTCATCCTACCTTGGCAGAAGATGCCTCAAAGTAAAAAAATTTTCTTTTTACTTTTTCCTGATCTATGAGTACATGTGTAGTTAAGGAAAATCACTTTAAGCACTACTACAGCTCTTGTCCTCCCCAGTTATCTGTTATGAACAACTTTCTTACGAAAGCATTATATGTACTTTCATCCTCACCATATCCTTTTCAGTTTAAGATATGCATCCCTTCTCAGTTTGTGATAAGCAACCCTCTTCATCTTATGGCCAACAACCCTTCTCAGTTGACAAGAAGTAACCCTTCTTGCTTATGACATATAACTATTCTCAGTTGACAAATTACCAAGAAGTAATCCTTCTCAGTTGACAAATTACCGAGAAGTAACCCTTCTCAGTTGACAAATTACCAAGAAGTAACCCTTCTCAGTTGACAAATTACCAAGAAGTAACCCTTCTCAGTTGACAAATTACCAAGAAGTAACCCTTCTCAGTTGACAATTTACCAAGAAGTAACCCTTCTCAGTTGACAGATTACCAAGAAGTAATCCTTCTCAGTTGACAAATTACCAAGAAGTAACCCTTCTCAGTTGACAGATTACCAAGAAGTAATCCTTCTCAGTTGACAAATTACCAAGAAGTAATCCTTCTCAGTTGACAAATTACCAAGAAGTAACCCTTCTCAGTTGACAAATTACCAAGAAGTAACCCTTCTCAGTTGACAAATTACCAAGAAGTAATCCTTCTCACTTGACAAATTACCAAGAAGTAATCCTTCTCAGTTGACAAATTACCAAGAAGTAACTCTTCTCAATCGACAACATACAACCCTTCATCCACTGATGGCATGTCAACTGGTAACCCCTAAAATATTAATTTATCTGTAACATTATAAAATTATACACAGTACCTTAACTCTCACCTTTACATTTCACAGGCACAAGGGTTGATATGCGTCATACCTGAATAAGCTGGGCAATAAGGTTCGGCAGCTGGTTGATAGGTATTCGCATAAGATTGAAGAGCACGATAGATACAAAGGCAGTCTCAACATCCAACACATTGTCGTCTGATACCAGGAGATATGTCATAAATGTGGTCAGTGCTACCTGGAAGACAAATTATATACTGTATAAATAGTGCAAAGGTTAGTGGATGAGTTTGGGAGTGTGTAAAGGTAGAAAGTTGAAAGTGAACATAGAAAAGAGTAAGGTGATGAGGGTGTCAAATGATTTAGATAAAGAAAAATTGGATATCAAATTGGGGAAGAGGAGTATGGAAGAAGTGAATGTTTTCAGATACTTGGGAGTTGGCGTGTCAGCGGATGGATTTATGAAGGATGAGGTTAATCATAGAATTGATGAGGGATAAAAGGTGAGTGGTGCATTGAGGTATATGTGGAGACAAAGAAGGGAATGTATGAAAGTATAGTAGTACCAACACTCTTATATGGATGTGAAGCTTGGGTTGTGAATGCAGCAGCGAGGAGGCGGTTGGAGGCAGTGGAGATGTCCTGTCTAAGGGCAATGTGTGGTGTAAATATTATGCAGAAAATCCGGAGTGTGGAAATTAGGAGAAGGTGTGGAGTTAATGAAAGTACATGTATTAGTCAGAGGGCTGAAGAGGGTTTTTTGAGGTGGTTTGGTCATTTAGAGAGAATGGCTCAAAGTAGAATGACATGGAGAGCGTATAAATCTGTAGGGAAAGGAGGGCGGGGTAGGGGTTGTCCTCGAAAAGGTTGGAAGGAAGGGGTAAGGGAGGTTTTGTGGGCGAGGGGCTTGGATTTCCAGCAGGCGTGCATGAGTGTGTTCGATAGGAGTGAATGGAGACAAATGGTATTTGGGACCTGACGATCTGCTGGAGTGTGAGCAGGGTAATATTTAGTTAAGGGATTCAGGGAAACCGGTTATTTTTATATAGCCAGACTTGAGTCCTGGAAATGGGAAGTACAATGCCTGCACTCTAAAGGAGGGGTTTGGGATATTAGCAGTTTGAAGGGATATGTTGTGTATCTTTATACGTTTTGAGGTGGTCAGTCCCTCAGTCTGGAGAAGAGTATTGTTCCACACAAGGGTATCTTGGTACAGACTTGGAACCACTTCAACAACCTCTACTAGTGAGAAAGGCTGGATTTGAGAGGGACCTGACCTCTCAATGTCTACATTCTTACCCTACTAGTGACCTACGTCTCACCTCCTGGCGCTATATAAGGCTCCATCCTATCACTTCAACTCCATATTATTCCAGACAATGGAACAATACTCTTCTCCAGACTGAGGGACTGACCACCTCAAAACTTTAAGGGTGATGGACTGATTATATCTTTATACGTATATGCTTCTAAACTGTTGTGTTCTAAGCACCTCTACAAAAACAGTGACTATGTGTGAGTGAGGTGAAAGTGTTGAATGATGATGAAAGTATTTTCTTTCTGGGGATTTTCTTTCTTTTTTGGGTCACCCTGCCTCGGTGGGAGACGGCCAACTTGTTAAAAAAAAGGTAATACTTGTACTGTACAGTACTGTAAAACTTTTCAGATTTCAGCAATTTTGGACAAAAAAATTGGCCAGACGAATGTTGTAAGCATAGGACAAAATGGACAAAACTCTGTAAATCTGGATTTTACCCATAGTACTAGTATGAGGTTTGTCTTAAGTATTAGTAATAGGTGAATCATAGAATTGATGAGGGGAAAAGAGTGAGTGGTGCACTTAGGAGTCTGTGGAGACAAAGAACTTTGTCCTTGGAGGCAAAGAGGGGAATGTATGAGAGTATAGTTTTACCAATGCTCTTATATGGGTGTGAAGCATGGGTGATGAATGTTGCAGCGAGGAGAAGGCTGGAGGCAGTGGAGATGTCATGTCTGAGGGCAATGTGTGATGTGAATATAATGCAGAGAATTCGTAGTTTGGAAGTTAGGAGGAGGTGCGGGATTACCAAAACTGTTGTCCAGAGGGCTGAGGAAGGGTTGTTGAGGTGGTTCGGACATGTAGAGAGAATGGAGCGAAACAGAATGACTTCAAGAGTGTATCAGTCTGTAGTGGAAGGAAGGCGGGGTAGGGGTCGGCCTAGGAAAGGTTGGAGAGAGGGGGTAAAGGAGGTTTTATGTGCGAGGGGCTTGGACTTCCAGCAGGCATGCGTGAGCGTGTTTGATAGGAGTGAATGGAGACAAATGGTTTTTAATACTTGACGTGCTGTTGGAGTGTGAGCAAAGTAACATTTATGAAGGGGTTCAGGGAAACCGGCAGGCCGGACTTGAGTCCTGGAGATGGGAAGTACAGTGCCTGCACTCTGAAGGAGGGGTGTTAATGTTGCAGTTTAAAAACTGTAGTGTAAAGCACCCTTCTGGCAAGACAGTGATGGAGTGAATGATGGTGAAAGTTTTTCTTTTTCGGGCCACCCTGCCTTGGTGGGAATCGGCCAGTGTGATAATAAAAAAAAAAATAGTAATAATAATTATAATAATAATAAAATAATAATTATATAAAAATAATAATAATAATAATAATAATAATAATAATAATAATAATAATAATAATAATAATTAAAATAAAATAATAATAATCATCATCATAATTATTACAATTATTATTATAATTAAATTGTAATAATAGTAATAATATGGCAGTATTCACTAAACAGAAAGGGTTCACACCCATGGCAAGCCAGTCCTTAACCCTTTGACTGTTTCAGGCCCCTCTCTGAAACTGTCATTCTATGTCGCTCAATTTTTGAAAAAAAAAAAAATTATTTTTTCTTATGAAATGATAGAGAATCTTTTCCCGGTGGTAATGACACCAAAAGTTCGAAATTTGGTCGAAAACTCGTGGAATTATGCTCCTGCGAAGTTAGCGGTCTCGGCGACATATGCGTATCGGCGATTTCGCCGACTTTGAGCCCAATTTTCAGCCAATTCCATTGTTCCAGTTGACCAAACTCATAGCTATTTCTTTAGAACTCCATTTTATCTATCTGCTGAGTACAAGAAACCTCCCATTTACTAATTTGGACTACCCAATATGGTGGTCAGAAATTGGCAATTTGGCCAATTTCACACAAAATAAAAAAGATGCCAATTTCAAAATAGGGTCCAGAATAAACAAGGCAGACATTCGTGGCACTAAAATAACATATGCTCTGTTCATTAGTCACATCTCTAGGCCCCTCTTATATTATTATTGCTTTCTATTTTGATTTTTTATTCATACAAAAAAATACAAAATTTACTGTTATGCAGACGACTGCATTATTGTAAAAATGGTATAAATAATATCAGTGCACTAGTGAAAGAATATCAGACTCCCCAGTTGACGTGTATTGGACGTGTGGTGTGATTTATGTACTCTTGAACATTGGTAAAAATCGAACATTTCCGCTACTTTGAGCTCAGTTTCAAGGTCGTTTTCATCGTAAAGGTAATGAAAATCATCTCTATTTCTGTAATATGTTTTCCATTTTATCACCTAAGACCATGAAAACGCGAATACAACGATAAATACTATACGAAAATACACCTCAAAGTCGGCGTTTTATTCCAAAAAAACGATCAGAGTTTTTTTTTTCTCATTACGCAATGTGTGCTGCAGGATTTTTTTTATGTGGTGCACACTGACCACACAGACCCATTCTCTCACATGTGGGCCTACCAGCTTTCTCCCGCTTGATTTGAAGCCGCTAGAATTATTGAGTATATATACGTCAGAAACATTGGCTCTTAAGACGTATTTATACGTCGAAAACAGTCAAAGGGTTAAACCAGCAAGTCAGTTTTAGGAATGGTTAGGCCTGGGTACGAACACCACTCCACCCAGTAAATGCAGTAGTTTACAATTGTATCATTACATTTCAGGAGTAAATAGCATGTTGGACATGAGCGTGATGCAGCACTAACCATATAAGGAGTAATGTTCCAGATGAAGGCGCTCAGAGACTGAAGAAAAGCTCCTTGCTTCAGCATTCGAATTTCCTGAAGTCTGACATCTTCGACCTGCTTGGCAAAGGACTGCTCCCATGCATAAAACTTCAAAACCTATGGACATTTAATTAATACAATATAATGCAACAACTTTATTTCTTTTCTGAAGTACAGTAGAACCCCTATATCCGCAAGTCCGGTTTCTGCGGTTTCAGTTATCTGTGGTTTACCCTGACCTGAAAATAAGCCTTAATTTTGTTTAATAAAGGCCTAAGAGAAGGTGTGAAGTGCTTCCCATCAGTGAAAAAGTGATAATTCTCGACTTATTGTGTGTAAGTTATCAATTTAACTTTATCATGGGTATGTATGTAAACGAAAAACGACATATACGTATATAGGGTTCACTACTATCTATGGTAGGTCTTGGAACGCATTACACGTGGATATGGGGGGCTACTGTATTTACACAAATTTTCTTGTTCAAGCTGTAGTCATTTATTTTAATAAAGTAATTAACATTCTAGCCATGAGTAACTCAAAGCTTAAACTTGGCAAATGCACCTTCCTGAAAGGTCATGTGGTGCAGTTCTGGTCAAAATATTAGAAAATGGGCATTTTTAAAAATGTGGCTAATACTGTAAAAGATTTTAGTTTCCTCCAGTAAGTTGTACCAAATTTTGAGCCTTGACAGACCTATTACACAAGAACCTACTATGAATAACTTAAAATCTCTTATTAATAATTAATAAAGGTTTGAGTACTGAGGGCAGGAAGTATTGTCTTCACTGGGAAGGAGAAGCAGGTATGTTGCAGTTCAGAAGATCATTTGAAGTGTGATGTGTGCAATCTTCTGACAACACAACTATTGACTGAATGATGGTGAATGGTTCCTTTCTTGGGGCCACCCTACCTTGGTGGAAAATAGCCAATGTGGTTAAAAAAATATATATACAGGAGAGCCCCATTTCTATGGCTGTTAGGTTCCCGACTGATAAACAATAACACACTTGAAGATTGAGACACTTATGCAACATATGGGAATCTTTATTAAGGAAATGTTTCGCCACACAGCAGCTTCATCAGTCCAATACAAAGCAGAGAGGGGTAAGGAGAGGAAGAGTCTGAGGTACTGTATTAGATTGATGAAGCCACTGTGTAGCAAAACGTTTCTTTAACCCGTAAACGGTCCAAGCAGATCTACGTTCACATGCGTAGTGCTCCAAAAGTAGATCTGCTTTTTTTTTACATATTTTCAAATAAAACAAACAAAAAAGTAGATCAAAGTTTTTTTACACGTTTTCAAATGTACAAAAAAAAAAAATCTACTTTTTTTATATACAGTGGACCCCCAGTATTCAATGCATTTTATCGCAAAAATTTTTCCTCGGTATTCGATTGAAAACCCAGTATTCGATACGATTCGTACGAGACGTGTCCACGTGTGGCCTGAACTGCCCCTTGTGTGCCAGTGTTTACAAGCCAGCCAGTGTGTGCGCATCTAAGGATACATTCCATATTATCCATATTATCACTGTGTTTGGTGCTTGTTTCTGGAAAAATAAGTCACCATGGGCCCCAAGAAAGCTTCTAGTGCCAACCCTTCAAGAAAAAAGTCGCTAATGACTTATGAAATGAAGAAAGAGATAATTGCAAAGTACGAAAGTGGAGTGCGTGTGTCAGAGCTGGTTAGGTTGTATAATAAACCCCAATCAACCATCTCTACTATAGTGACCAGGAAAACGGCAATCAAGGAAGCTGTTCTTGCAAAAGGTGCAACTGTGATTACGAAACAGCAACCGCAAGTGTTAGAAAATGCTGAGAGATTGTTATTGGTGTGGATAAATGAAAAACAGATAGCAGGAGATAGCATCTCTCAAGCGATCATTTGTGAAAAGGCTAAGCAGTTGCATGACGATTTGGTAAAGAAATTGCCTGCAAATAGTGGTGATGTGAGTGAATTTAAGGCCAGCAAAGGTTGGTTTGAAAGATTTAAGAATCGTAGTGGCATACATAGTGTGATTAGGCATGGTGAGGCTGCCAGTTCAGACCAAAAAGCAGCTGAAAAATATGTGAAGGAATTCAAGGAGTACATAGACAGTGAAGGACTGAAACCTGAACAAGTGTTTAATTGTGACAAAACAGGCCTGTTTTGGAAGAAAATGCCAAGCAGGACCTACATTACTCAGGAGGAAAAGGCACTCCCAGGACATAAGTCTATGAAAGACAGGCTTACTCTGTTGATGTGTGCCAATGCTAGTGGTGATTGCAAAGTGAAGCCTTTATTGGTGTATCACTCTGAAACTCCCAGAGTGTTCAGGAAAAACAATGTCCTCAAGGCTAATTTGTGTGTGCTGTGGAGGGCAAACAGTAAGGCATGGGTCACTAGGGACTTTTTCTATGACTGGTTACACCATGCATTTGCCCCCAATGTGAAAAATTACCTAACTGAAAAGAAATTAGACCTTAAGTGCCTCCTGGTATTAGACAATGCCCCTGGTCATCCTACAGACTTGTCAGAGCGACTTTCTGGGGACATGAGCTTCATTAAGGTCAAGTTTTTGTCTCCTAATACCACTCCTCTCCTGCAGCCCATGGACCAGCAGGTCATTTCCAACTTCAAGAAACTGTACACAAAAGCTATGTTTCAAAAGTGCTTTATAGTGACCACAGAAACTCAACTGACTCTAAAAGAGTTTTGGAAGGATCACTTTAATATCCTCAATTGTATAAACCTTATAGGTAAGGCTTGGGAGGGAGTGACTAAGAGGACCTTGAACTCTGCTTGGAAAAAACTGTGGCCAGAATGTGCAGACAAAAGGGATTGTGAAGGATTTGAGGCTAACCCTGAGAATCCTATGCCAGTTGAGGAATCCATTGTGGCATTGGGGAAGTCCTTGGGGTTGGAGGTTAGTGGGGAGGATGTGGAAGAGTTGGTGGAGGAGGACAGTGAAAAACTAACCAATGATGAGCTGATAGATCATCTTGAACAGCAAGAGGGCAGACCTGAGGAAACTGCTTCGGAGGAGGGGATAGAGAAATTGAAGAAGTTGCCTACTTCAAAGATTAAGGAAATGTGTGCAATGTGGCTTAAAGTGCAAACCTTTCTTGATGACAATCACCCTAACACAGCTATTGCAAGCCGTGCTGGTGACTATTACACTGACAATGTTGTGAAACACTTTAGGGATGTCATAAAGGAACGGGAGGTACAGGCCACTATGGACAGATATGTTGTGCGACAGAAATCCAGTGACTCTGAAGCTGGTCCTAGTGGCATTAAAAGAAGAAGGGAAGTAACCCCGGAAAAGGACTTGTTACTTCAAGTCTTAATGGAAGGAGATTCCCCTTCTAAACACTAACATCTCTTCCCTCCTCCCATCCCATCAATCCTCACCAAATCTTCATTAAAGGTAAGTGTCAATTATTTTATTATTATTCTATTGCATTAAACTTTATATTCCATGTAGTAAAATTTTTTTTTTCATACTTTTGGGTCTCTTGCACGGATTAATTTGATTTCCATTATTTCTTATGAGGAAAATTGATTCGGTTTTCGATATTATCGGTACGATGAGCTCTCAGGAACGGATTAATATCGAATACCGGGGGTCCACTGTACTTTCAAATGTTGAAAAAACGTATATATACGTTTGGACCGCTTACGGGTTAATAAAGATTCCTATATGTTCCATAAGTGTCTCAATCTTCAACTTGTCGTTTTTCAAAACCATTTATCACAAATAACATGCTTGCACTATCATATATTAAGTGTTCGATACAGCTAGGCATAAAAGTAAATACACAGTACGTACAGTAATCACCTTAAAATGTGGCACCGATCACCCTTACCTTGCACAACTGCTATGTGAAAACAGCAGAAGAGCAGAAAAAACACCGAATGTGCTATGTGAAAACAGCAGAAGAGCAGAAAAAACACCGAACATAATGAACAATGGCTCAGTTGAAAACCACCGAAAAAGAGGGATACCTTAATGATTACAATGGATATGGAACAAAAAATACGTCATATTAAAGATCAAATTTATGAGGTTGTAGGAGCACATGGAGAGTGCATTTAGAAACAAAAATTATATTGTACAATATGTAAAATACAGATAAAATATCAAAGATAAATCTGCAATTATGTAACAATAATGAATGACTGTACTTAACCATGTTTTAACGTCTACTCGAATATTAAAATTTTACCTTAATTCCACTGATGATCTCACTGATCAATTTGACTCTCTTGTCTTTGAACCTCATTTGATCTGACTGTAATTTTTTCAATTTGCTGACTATGACAGCATTGATAGGAATCAGGATTATCAATATTCCTATGCCTGCTAACACTGCTGGTCCTGAAATAAAAGAGTACATATCAAATGTAAAAATTTTGAAAAAATTTTAGTCTCATTGTTAAGATTATTTACTGCTGTACCTTAAATGGCATATTCTAAACTTAATATGTAATCAAATTTGCATAAAACATACACACACATACACACAAACAAGTCACAACAGATTCCCACACACTTAGGCTTTTATTATTAGTTATCATAAGATAAAAGTATTATTTATGCCTTTTGCTAATAAAAAAATTGACGTTATTACTTTTCAATACTACTGGTATTTAGTTAGTTACAGTAATTATTCGTTTCTTTACTTATTTAGTGACAGTAGTTATTTATTTATTTAGCATATCATATTCATTTTTAACTTACGATATTTCTGATTTACAATGGACTTGTTGGAACGTAACCCCATCGTAAGCCAAGGAGTATCCGTACAAATAAGTGAAGAGCCTTACCAAGCCTCTGCCAGAGGGAGGTGAAGGAGAGGATGAAGATAACTGGTATTCCCCACATCTGACTGAGAACCTGCGCAGCAGCACCCAGTCGGTGAGCATCCACGGCCATCAGGTTGACAATATCCCCTAATGTAAACTCACGTCTAGCTGAAGCAGATAGTCGCAGTGCCTTGGGAGAAGCCAAAAAGACAGACTCAAGTGGCTTTATTTAAAATATGAAAAAACGATAACACAATAGAGTAATTCTGAGGGTGAATACACAAAGATGAACTTTAACAATTTTGTATACATGGAGTTTACAAAGCAAGACTCTACTAGTGGTAATGGATGGGGACAGGATGTGGCATTCATTCATTTACATTTATTTTAACTCAAGCTGTATAAAAATCAAGCTAATGCAAAAAACAGAAAACTCAAATAAATAAAATGGTGCTAAACAAATAAACTTAAGCAGAGTGTAGCCAAACTGTAATGGAAAAGGCATAAGTCAGTTTAGCATAATACCACTAAATACATTATTAGAGAGAGTAATCAAGTAAGATCACTCCCTCTTTCCATTTTTTTTTTTTTTTGCTTCCATTCCCATTGAACATGGAAAATAAGGAAAGTACATAAACTGTAATGAAAAGAAGAAAATGATCAAATAATAATAATAAATATGGTAGAGTAGATATGAAATTAAAGGATGCAGTTGAGGTGAAATCATGCATACAGTATGCCAAGTGTAATAATAATAATTTGTGAGCACAATACTGTGCTGCACTTAGAAGTGCATTACAGACACTTTGTCGAGAAAACTTCTAGCACTGTACTACTCTTGGGTTTGCAACACTGCTGCATGCTGAAGTACGATAACCCAAGTTAATGTGAAGAGATTCGTGTACCGTCGCTGCATGCACTCATTGCCACACCATATACGTGTAATCAGCTGTGTGGTACGTAACACTGCATACTATTTATGAATATGAAACAACAATAAACATAAAAAAAATGTTACTTGCCAATACAGTAGGAATGAACTTTTAATTTCTGCAATACAGTACTAAGATAATGCAGAAATGGCAAGCAAGGAGATTGTGCAAATGATAGTTATGAATAAAAAATCTAGAGAGAACAAGGAGGCACAATACCATGACTGGAACAGCACACAAATAACCCGCACATAGGAGAAAGAAACTGATGACGACATTACGGTCTGACTTAGATCAGCGACTAGACACACACTGTGTCACTAGTCGCTGGTCCAAGTTGAACCACAATGTCATCACAAGTTTCTTTCTCCTATGGGCGGGTTATTTGTGTAAAAAATCCAGAGTGTGACTCATGTGTTTGACAAGTAAAGGAGAATGATGCACAAAATAATAAGAAGCTGTTTGCCCCTCGATTGATATGGTCAAAGAGATAAATTAGCAACAATTAATGTTACCTTTATACAGTACTGGGATATGCACAACCATATGACCTGAAGCAGTGATCAATCTAGAATTTTGTGAGGGTGGGCCCTTTACAACCACTGGACCTAAAACAAGGTGTGCTAATGAAAAAATGTACGATTACATATCATAAATTCTTTCATTTATTTTTTCCATAAAAAACACATGAGCTGCTTGATTTTCACTACAAGGTCAGAATGTATTATATTTTTTATTTTTTTTGGAACACACCGATTGTCTCCCACCAAGGCAGGGTGACCCGAAAAAAAAAAAAAAGTTTTTTATTTAAATTTAGTAATTTATACAGGAGACAGGGTTACTACCCCCTTGCTGGCTTATGGAGGAAGGATTCTTCTCCACTTCCCCATGGAGATGTTTACAGTGCCTGGAGAAAATTATATATGCTTCAACCTGTTTCATAAGAACACCTTGCTGAATATTATGAATGTTGATATATAGACTTCAAGAGATTATAAGTAGCAAAATGTTAGAGAAACATATATAAGAGGTACAAGTTAAAGAATTATTCTTCTTTCAACAAACTGGCTGTATCCCACTGAGGCGGGGTGGCCCAAAAAGAAAAACAAAAATTGCTTTTTTAAATTTATTTTATACAGGAGACGGGATTACTAGCCCCTTGCTCTCGACATTTTAGTCGTCTCTTACGACACGCATGGTTTACAGAGGAAGAATTCTGTTCCGCTTCCCCATGGAGAAGTTAAAGAATTACCACAGAAAAATACTGTATAGAAAAAACATCTTGACTATGTGTCCAGTAATAAAATAAATACACAGCAAATGAATTGTACTGTTGTTTTCTTCTGTACCTCTGATGCCTTGTGTACCCCAAGAACTCCCACAATGGTGTCGCACTTGCCTAGATATTTTACACAAGTCTCAGACTGAATTCTTCATGTTTTAATTTTCATCTGGGCAAGTTATTTTTTTAAAAAATCCTCTCATGTAGTATGCTGGATTTTTTTTTTCTCTAGACAGGAGAAACTTGTACCAGTTAAATACTCTCATACATAGTTACCTAAATAAGATTAGTATCACTATATAGTATACATTAGTAAAATATGCTTCAAAATACTGCAATAAAATGAATTTCCTCCAAACATAGTACAAGTTGCACAGATTTTGGAATGCTTTTGCAATGTACAATGTGAACATTAGAAATACAGTATATAATAATTTCAACATGAAACTTAAAATGCAATTGACAATCATGCTTGATGTTGGTGAGGGGCTCTTGATTTAGGGAATTGGATCTGTGCTCCAGTTCCCCAAATTAAGCCTGAATGCCTTCCACATCCCCCCCCCAGGCGCTGTATAATCCTCTGGGTTTAGCGCTTCCTCCTTGATTATAATAATAATAATAATCGTATTGTAGATAGTCTTAATGACCTTGGTGTAGCAGATAGTCTTTTTAGTATGATAATAAGATGTTATCTTCATTGTAGAATAATAAGAAAATATTATAACCTTTATACTATAATAATAAGGTAAAAGGACCCCAATGGAAATAAGTCACTCTGTCTGACTTTTTTGGGTTATCCTAGGTTCCCTACACATATGCTGCTATGTATGATAATTCTATGTAACTGTATTTGTGTTTACCTGAATAAACTTACTTACTTACTTACTTACTTATTGTAAATTTCAACATGAATCTAATTAAAACAGGTTTTTACAGCACATATGAAAGGAATCATCCCATTAACTTGCGTACTTTAGCTGTCTGTAGCCAGATGATCAAATGAAGATCAATTCTAATTTTTTTCAATGAAAAAATTACTGGTGCAGTTTATGAGAACCCGTAAACAGTGTGCCATTTATCCAGTACGATGACATCAAAATGAAAATGCAAAGAACATAACAAACCTTACGATAAACGGCTGCCATGACGGAGGCCTTTATTCTCGTGTTCAGCATGAAGAAACGCTTAAATGCAGCATTTCTCATGAAAGAGAAGAATTCGCAGAAGATGAAAAGAATCGCAGCATAAGAGTATCCAATCCACACAGGTTGATCTTCATCATTTATAAACCGGATAAGCAGCCTGGATATGGGAAAAAAAGTGCTATAGTTCATTATATATAATTCAACTATTATTCAGAAACTCAGGTGTATGATCAAGATACAATGCCATGATAAATATATTAAAGATATCAATAACTACTGCAAGTTGAAACAAGTGATGTGAAGTGTATCGTGTAATGCACCATGATGGGATAAATGCACCTTTGGACCTTTTAGAAACTAGAAGGAGCAGCTGCATTACCCTAAGATATAAGGACTGATAAATCTGGAGGACTCTGCCAACACTACGATAATGGCAGTGACAAAAAATGAAACGTAGAAAGCTTTGAACAGTATCGTCAGCACAGGAACCTCATAATCTTCTACATCCTCAGCTGAAGACTGAAGAACGTGACAATGATCGTGAAGACTTGCACTTGTCTGTCCCTTCCTCCAGCTAAAAATAAGGTAAATAAGAGACTTGAGTGAGCGTATGAGTAGCAGAGTGAGGAGGGAAGGAAGACACAAGCTAAATGAAACATTTGTCTGAATTGGATTATGTTACTTCAAGACTTTTTTGATCGTTACGACATGGAATGAAAAGCTTGTTTTAGCAACAGTGGTAAACATTGAGTTGCCACATTCACTACACTAGGTAATTTTTGCAGAGAACATATTCAAATTTGTCTATAAGATTTCTTTAGCCCCAAAAGTTAATAATAGGGTAATATTGATTTTTTTTTTAACAAACTGGCCACATCCCACCAAAGCAGGGTGACCCAAAAAAGAAAAACAAAAATCTTTCTTTTTACATTTAGTAATTTATACAGGAGAAGGGGTTACTAGCCCCTTGCTCCCGGCATTACAGTCGCCTCTTATGATGCGCATGACTTACAGAGGAAGGATGCCATGCAATATTACTATAATATAATACTGATATATTCCAGTAATACTGTATGACATCCTTCCTCCGTAAGCCAAGTGTGTCGTAAGAGGCAAGTAAAATACCGAGAGCAAGGGGCTTGTAACCTTTTTCCAGTATAAATTACTAAATGTAAAAAGAAGAAAATCTTTAAAAGGTTTTCTTCCTTTTCAAGTCACCCTGTCTTGGTGAGAGACAACCGGTACGTTAAAAAAAAAAAAATTGTATGACACTCACCTGGCAACAGTTGAGGCCCACAAAGCAGCATTAGAAGCAGCATTGTCTTCAGGCAACATCTCCCAGAGATCAGCAGTGGTCAATGGGCGACGCCAGCCTTTCCATACAAGATTGGTGCACCAGTTGAAGGTAAGGATGCTGGGAAACGATGCCCACATCTCTGGACTTGGATTCTGATAGTAATAAAAATGAGTTTGCACGAGGCCTCAGGATAGAAACTGTTGTAAAGGTGAACTGTCACAGGAAAAATAATGTACTGATTATATCTTCTATAATAAATAATTATAATTAATCCTTAAATGGTCCAAATGTATATATACGTTCACTCGCGTAGCGCCCCCAACTTTTTTGAGGAAAAAACAATCTTTTCTTTTAAAAGGAAAAAAGAGCATATGGTACCCAGGCATCCACAATTATTTTAATATGGCACACAGTGAGTGCGCACACCCATTCTCTCATGTCTAGGTGACTCAGGCTTATTGTGGCAATGTTGAATGAATGACAAAGAAAACGTATATATACGTTTGGACCGTTTAAGGGTTAAGTACCCAGAAAAAAACTTTCAGTATAATGAATGATAGTCTGTATAAAGCACAAAATCCATATGGGTTATTCAGCACAAGCTGTAGAGGTTCAAGCCCCCATCTTCTAATTGCGAGACAGACAAGCCACCGAACTAACAGCAGCATACACACCTTGGTCTTATCGAGGCTATGGATGCTGGAATCAACATCAGAGCAGCAGTGGCTGATGAACATAACAATGGAGCTCAAATATTGTACCAGGAAAGTTGCAACCATCACTGCTGGGTACTTGGCATTCTGGAATGTAGAAATTAAGTAAGTACATAATTATGTTAATTTAGGTATAGTACACATAAATACAATTATGTAGTTAGTAGGTTGGTAGACAGCAACTGCCCAGGGAGGTACTACCATCCTGCCAACTGAGTGCAAAATGGATGCCTGTAATTGTTTTACATGATGATATGATTGCTGGTGTCTTTTTTCTGTCTCATAAACATGCAAGATTTCAGGTACATCTTGCTACTTTTACTTACACTTAGGTCACACTACACATACATGTACAAGCATATATATACACACCCCTCTGGGTTTTCTTCTATATTCTTTCTAGTTCTTGTTCTTGTTTATTTCATCTTATCTCAATGGGGAAGTGGAACAGAATTCTTCCTCCGTAAGCCATGAGTGTTGTAAGAGGTGACTAAAATGCCGGGAGCAAGGGCCTAGTAACCCCTTCTCCTGTATAAATTACTAAATTTAAAGAGAAACTTTTCTTTTTCTTATTGGGTCACCCTGCCTTGGTGGGATATGGCCGGTTTGTTGAAAAAAAAAAAATTATCATACCTAGAAACATGTGTAAATTACCGAAGATAATGCAAAATTCAAGGATTATGTGGAGTAAAATAAAGATTGGATGTGAAAAGTGGGTTATAGTAAGCGTGTATGCACCTGGAGAAGAGAGAAGTGTAGAGGAGAGAGAGAGATTCTGGGAAATGTTGAGTGAATGCGTGGGGAGTTTTGAATCAAGTGTGAGAGTAGTGGTGGTTGGGGATTTCAATGCTAAAGTGGGTAAAAATGTTATGGAGGGAGTAGTAGGTAAATTTGGGGTGCCAGGGGTAAATGTAAATGGGGAGCCTTTAATTGAGCTATGTGTAGAAAGAAATTTGGTAATAAGTAATACATATTTTATGAAAAAGAGATAAATAAATATACAAGGTATGATGTAGCACGTAATGAAAGTAGTTTGTTAGATTATGTATTGGTGGATAAAAGGTTGATGGGTAGGCTCCAGATGTACATGTTCATAGAGGGGCAACTGATATATCGGATCATTATTTAGTTGTAGCTACAGTTAGAGTAAGAGGTAGATGGGAAAAGAGGAAGGTGGCAACAACAAGTAAGAGGGAGGTGAAAGTGTATAAACTAAGGGAGAGGAAGTTCGGGCGAGATATAAGCGACTATTGGCAGAAAGGTGGGCTAGTGCAAAGATGAGTAGTGGGGGGGTTGAAGAGGGTTGGAATAGTTTTAAAAATGCAGTATTAGAATGTGGGGCAGAAGTTTGTGGTTATAGGAGGGTGGGGGCAGGAGGCAAGAGGAGTGATTGGTGGAATGATGAAGTAAGGGTGTGATAAAAGAGAAAAGGTAGCTTATGAGAGGTATTTACAAAGCAGAAGTGTTATAAGAAGAGTAGAGTATATGGAGAGTAAAAGAAAGGTGGAGAGAGTGATGAGAGAGTGCAAAGGAGAGCAGATGAAAGAGTGGGAGAGGCACTGTCAAGAAATTTTAATGAAAATAAGAAAAAAATTTGGAGTGAGTTAAACAAGTTAAGAAAGCCTAGGGAAAGTATGGATTTGTCAGTTAAAAACAGAGTAGGGGAGTTAGTAGATGGGGAGAGGGAGGTATTAGGTAGATGGCGAGAATATTTTGAGGAACTTTTAAATGTTGAGGAAGAAAGGGAGGTGGTAATTTCATGCACTGGCCAGGGAGGTATACCATCTTTTAGGAGTGAATAAGAGCAGAATGTAAGTGTGGTGGAGGTACGTGAGGCATTACATAGAATGAAAGGGGGTAAATCAGCTGGAACTGATGGGATCATGACAGAAATTGTTAAAAGCAGGGGGGATATAGTGTTGGAGTGGTTGGTACTTTTGTTTAATAAATGTATGAAAGAGGGGAAGGTACCTAGGGATTGGCGGAGAGCATGTATAGTCCCTTTATATAAAGGGAAAGGGGACAAAAGAGATTGTAAAAATTATAGAGGAATAAGTTTACTGAGTATACCAGGAAAAGTATACGGTAGGGTTATAATTGAAAGAATTAGAGGTAAGACAGAATGTAGGATTGCGGATGAGCAGGGAGGCTTCAGAGTGGGTAGGGGATGTGTAGATCAAGTGTTTACATTGAAGCATATATGTGAACAGTATTTAGATAAAGGTAGGGAAGTTTTTATTGCATTTATGGATTTAGAAAAGGCATATGATAGAGTGGATAGAGGAGCAATGTGGCAGATGTTGCAAGTATATGGAATAGGTGGTAAGTTACTGAATGCTGTAAAGAGCTTTTATGAGGATAGTGAGGCTCAGGTTAGGGTGTGTAGAAGAGAGGGAGAATACTTCCCGTTAAAAGTAGGTCTTAGACAGGGATGTGTAATGTCACCATGGTTGTTTAATATATTTATAGATGGGGTTGTAAAAGAAGTAAATGCTAGGGTGTTCGGGAGAGGGGTGGGATTAAATTATGGGGAATCAAATTCAAAATGGGAACTGACACAGTTACTTTTTGCTGATGATACTGTCTTATGGGAGATTCTAAAGAAAAATTGCAAAGGTTAGTGGATGAGTTTGAGAATGTGTGTAAAGGTAGAAAGTTGAAAGTGAACATAGAAAAGAGTAAGGTGATGAGGGTATCAAATGATTTAGATAAAGAAAAATTGGATATCAAATTGGGGAGGAGGAGTATGGAAGAAGTGAATGTTTTCAGATACTTGGGAGTTGACATGTCGGCGGATGGGTTTATGAAGGATGAGGTTAATCATAGAATTGATGAGGGAAAAAAGGTGAGTGGTGCGTTGAGGTATATGTGGAGTCAAAAAACGTTATCTATGGAGGCAAAGAAGGGAATGTATGAAAGTATAGTAGTACCAACACTCTTATATGGATGTGAAGCTTGGATGGTAAATGCAGCAGCGAGGAGACGGTGGAGATGTCCTGTCTAAGGGCAATGTGTGGTGTAAATATTATGCAGAAAATTCGGTGTGGAAATTAGGAGAAGGTGTGGAGTTAATAAAAGCATTAGTCAGAGGGCAGAAGAGGGGTTGTTGAGGCAGTTTGGTCATTTAGAGAGAATGGATCAAAGTAGAATGACATGGAAAGTATATAAATCTATAGGGGAAGGAAGGAGGGGTAGGGGTCGTCCTCGAAAGGGTTGGAAAGAGGGGGTAAAGGAGGTTTTGTGGGCAAGGGGCTTGGACTTCCAGCAAGCGTGCATGAGCGTGTTAGATAGGAGCGAATGGAGACGAATGATACTTGGGACCTGATGATCTGTTGGAGTGTGAGCAGGTAATAATTTAGTGAAGGGATTCAGGGAAACCGGTTATTTTCATATAGTCGGACTTGAGTCCTGGAAATGGGAAGTACAATGCCTGCACTTTAAAGGAGGGGTTTGGGATATTGGCAGTTTGGAGGGATATGTTGTGTATCTTTATATGTGTATGCTTCTAAACTGTTGTATTCTGAGCACCTCTGCAAAAACAGTGATAATGTGTGAGTGTGGTGAAAGTGTTGAATGATGATGAAAGTATTTTCTTTTTGGGGATTTTCTTTCTTTTTTTTTTGGGTCACCCTGCCTCGGTGGGAGACGGCCAACTTGTTGAAAAAAAAAAAAATGCAAAATGTCAGACAAAGTGACTTATCAACAACTATTTGAAAGTGACTTTTTTTACTGTATATATCTCAGTTAAATTTACAAAAAAATATTTCAATATATGTATTAATCTTCCCATTTTCCAGGACTAAAATATGACTAACCAGTTCTCCCTAAATCCCATCATGGATATTTCAAAACTCCGACAGAATGTCAAATCCCATGTACTACTGAGCTGCATTGCAGTCTAACATACTCAAATATAGAGGAATATGTAAATATGCTAAGATAACAGGGATATCTTGCTACTCCTACTTACACTTTGGTCACACTTCACAGACACGCACATGCATATATATATATACATACACCTAGGTTTTTCTCCTTTTTCTAAATAGCTCTTGTTCTTTTTTATTTCTTCTATTGTCCATGGGGAAGTGGAAAAGAATCTTTCCTCCGTAAGCCATGCGTGTCGTATGAGGCGACTAAAATGCCGGGAGCAATGGGCTAGTAACCCCTTCTCCTGTATACAATTACTAAAAAGAGAAGAAGAAAAACTTTATAAAACTGGGTTGCTTAAATGTGCGTGGATGTAGTGCGGATGACAAGAAACAATGATTGCTGATGTTATGAATGAAAGAAGTTGGATGTCCTGGCCCTAACGAAACAAAGCTGAAGGGGTAGGAGAGTTTCAGTGGGGGAAATAAATGGGATTAAATCTGGTATCTGAGAGAGTTAGAGCAAAGGAAGGGTAGCAGTAAGTTAAATGATCAGTTATGGAAGGAGAAAAGAGAATATGAAATGTGTAAATTCAAGAATTATGTGGATGTAAAGTAAAGGTTGGATGCGAGAAGTGGGTCATAATAAGTGTGTATGCACCTGGAGAAGAGAGGAATGCAGAGGAGAGAGAGAGATTTTGGGAGATGTTAAGTGAATGTATAGGAGCCTTTGAACCAAGTGAGAGAGTAATTGTGGTAGGGGACTTGAATGCTAAAGTAGGAGAAACTTTTAGAGAGGGTGTGGTAGGTAAGTTTGGGGTGCCAGGGTAAATGAATAATGGGGAGCCCTTTGATTGAACTTTGTATAGAAAGGGGTTTAGTTATAGGTAATACATATTTTAAGAAAAAGAGGATAAATAAGTATACACGATATGATGTAGGGCGAAATGACAGTAGTTTGTTGGATTATGTATTGGTAGTAAAAGACTGTTGAGTAGACTTCAGATGTACATGTTTATAGAGGGGCCACAGATATATCAGATCACTTTCTAGTTGTAGCTACACTGAGAGTAAAAGGTAGATGGGATACAAGGAGAATAGAAGCATCAGGGAAGAGAGAGGTGAAAGTTTATAAACTAAAAGAGGAGGCAGTTAGGGTAAGATATAAACACTATTGGAGATAGATGGGCTAATGAGAGCATAGGCAATGGGGTCGAAGAGGTATGGGGTAGGTTTAAAAATGTAGTGTTAGAGTGTTCAGCAGAAGTTTGTGGTTACAGGAAAGTGGGTGCAGGAGGAAGAGGAGCGATTGGTGGAATGATGATGTAAAGAGAGTAGTAAGGAGAAAAAGTTAGCATATGAGAGTTTTTACAAAGTAGAAGTGATGCAAGGAGGAAGAGTATATTGAGAAAAAGAGAGAAGTTAAGAGAGTGGTGAAGCAATGTAAAAAGAGAGCAAATGAGAGAGTGGGTGAGATGTTATCAACAAATTTTGTTGAAAATAAGAAAAAGTTTTGGAGTGAGATTAACAAGTTAAGAAAGCCTAGAGAACAAATGGATTTGTCAGTTAAAAATAGGAGAGGAGAGTTTATTAAATGGAGAGTTAGAGGTATTGGGTAAGATGGAAGGAATATTTTGAGGAATTGTTAAATGTTGATGAAGATAGGGAAGCTGTGTTTCGTGTTAGGGCAAGGAGGAATAACATCTTGTAGGAGTGAGGAAGAAGCCAGTTTGTGAGTGTGGGGGAAGTTCGTGAGGCAGTAGGTAAATGAAAGGGGGTAAGGCAGCCGGGATTGATGGGATAAAGATAGAAATGTTAAAAGCAGGTGGGGATATAGTTTTGGAGTGGTTGGTGCAATTATTTTTAATAAATGTATGGAAGAGGGTAAGGTACCTAGGGATTGGCAGAGAGCATGCATAGTTCCTTTGTATAAAGGCAAAGGGGATAAAAGAGAGTGCAAAAATTATAGGGGGATAAGTCTGTTGAGTGTACCTGGTAAAGTGTATGGTAGAGTTATAATTGAAAGAATTAAGGTAAGACGGAGAATAGGATAGCAGATGACAAGGAGGCTTTAGGAAAGGTAGGGGGTGTGTGGACCAGGTGTTTACAGTGAAACATATAAGTGAACAGTATTTAGATAAGGCTAAAGAGGTCTTTGTGGCATTTATGGATTTGAAAAGGCGTATGACAGGGTGGATAGGGGGCAATGTGGCAGATGTTGCAAGTTATGGTGGTAGGAGGTAGGTTACTGAAAGCAGTGAAGAGTTTTTACGAGGATAGTGAGGCTCAAGTTAGAGTATGTAGGAAAGAGGGAAATTTTTCCCAGTAAAGTAGGCTTAGACAAGGATGTGTGATGTCACCGTGGTTGTTTAATATGTTTATAGATGGGGTTGTAAGACGAAGTAAATGCGAGGGTCTTGGCAAGAGGCGTGGAGTTAAAAGATAGAGAATCACACACAAAGTGGGAGTTGTCACAGCTGCTTTTTTGCTGATGACACTGTGCTCTTGGGAGATTCTAAGAGAATTGCAGAGATTGTGGATGAATTTGGTAGGGTGTGCAAAAGAAAAAAATTAAAGGTGAATACAGGAAAGAGTAAGGTTATGAGGATAACAAAAGATTAGGTGATGAAAGATTTGAATATCAATTGGAGGGAGAGAGTATGGAGGAGGTGAACGTATTCAGATATTTGGGAGTGGCCCGTGTCAGCGGATGGGTTCTATGAAAGATGAGGTAAATCATAGAATTGATGGGGGAAAAAGAGTGAGTGGTGCCTTAGGGTTGTGGAGACAAAGAACTTTGTCTTGGAGGCAAAGAGGGAATGATGAGAGTATAGTTTACCAACGCTCTTATATGGGTGTGAAGCGTGGGGATGATTTGCAGCGAGGAAAAGGCTGGAGGCAGTGAGATGTCATGTCTGGGGGGCAATGTGGGGTGTGAATATATGCAGAAAAATTCGTAGTTGGAAGTTAGGAGGAGGTGCGGGATTACAAAACTGTTGTCCAAGGGCGGGGAAAGGGTTGTTGAGGTGGTTGGGACATGTAGAGAGAATGGAGCAAACAGAATGACTTCAAGAGTTATCAGTCTGTAGTGGAAGGAAGGCGGGTAGGGGTCGGCCTGGGAAGGGTTGGAGGAGGGGGTAAAGGAGGTTTTTGTGTGCGAGGGGCTTGGACTTCCAGCAAGGCATGCGTGAGCGTGTTTGATGGGAGGTGAATGGAGGACAAATGGTTTTTTAATACTTGACGTGCTGTTGGAGTGTGAGCAAAGTAACATTTATGAAGGGATTCAGGGAAACCGGCAGGCCGGACTTGAGTCCTGGAGATGGGAGTCCCAGGGGCCTGCACTCTGGAAGGAGGGTTGTTAATGTTGCAGTTAAAAAACTGTTTGTAAAGCACCCTTCTGGCAAGACAGTGATGGAGTGAATGATGGTGAAAGTTTTTCTTTTTCGGGCCACCCTGCCTTGGTGGGAATCGGCCGGTGTGATAATAAAAAAAAAAATAAAATGTAAATTACTTCACACCCTCCTTTCAACTCTTTCTCAGATACGCCTTAAAACCCCTTCCATCCACTCTAGATTTATACATCCTCTTTAATGGAATGCAGTCAGCAGTAACAGCCTGGCTGATCAGGCTGTGATCCACCAGGAGGCCTAGTCAGGGACCGGGTTACTAATACCTGGAGGTTACCTGGAAGTTATTCCAAGGATCAACGTCCCCGCGGCCCGGTCCATGACCAGGCCTCCCGGTGGATCAGGGCTTGATCAACCAGGCTGTTACTGCTGGCCGCACGCAATCCAACGTACTAGCCAAAGCCCAGTAGGACAATGTCCATAGCAGAAAACTCACCAAATTTACTGTGGATATTATAACAGTGTAGAGTTGAGGGAGTCCACACAGCAACATAGTGAGCCAGAACACCCAGAGCACGCCACTATTTGGCACACCATACTCAAGACCCATTTTAACAAGTATCATGTGCACGATCTGAAAAATACAAAAATGTTCACACAAGACAAAGTATATGCCATATTTCTAGTGCTGTAACAATATTTTTATTTTATATAAATAACTTGCCCAAGGCAATAGAAAGCTATATAATTTTTTTGGTGCATAATGAGGAAAAAAATGTGCACAATAAACAATAAAAATGACTGTACATATTTATAAGCTGACTTGGATATACATACTAAATGAAACCTCAATTTAACAAATTAACAATGAGAGAGGATATCTGATAATGCCCACGTTTCCATTAAATCTGAACCAATGACATTGTTTTTCCTTCTCTCCATATCTTAACAAAGATTACATTCTGGAGACAAAGGAAACTTAGTCCATTAACACCTTAAACGTTCCTAGCAGATCTAAACGTTCACATTGAATGCCTACAAAAGTAATCTAAGTTTTTTACATAAATTCAAAATATAACACAAAAAAAAGTAAATCTAAAGTTTTTTTTACACATTTTCAAATGTAAGAAGAACAAAAAGAAGTCTAGTTTTTTTACATACTTTTCGGAATGTTGAAAAAATGTATAATATGTAGATGTAGGACGTTTATGGTTAAATAAAAAAATACATTAATGCAGAGAACCAAACATAGACACCAATCTTGAAACTATGGACTTTGTCCATTAAATCAAACATGTACCAAGGGTACTACAATCATGTCCACTGACAACACTATTTCTGAACTTGACTCGAAGGGTGGACAACGAGATTTTGCTTGTTAAAATCGCACAAAATCCATTAAATCCAGTGAAAAATAGTGACAATGGATGACTGAATTTAAATGTTACTAAATTCCATGTAATTGAAATTGGGAGAAAGCGCAAAATCAGACCACATAAAAAATTATATGGTGGGGCTTTTAAATCTTTTAGCTTATCAACTGCATGAACAGTGGACCCCCGCTTAACGATCACCTGCCCAGTGCGCCAATTATGTAATTAATTTTAATTAATGGCATTTGTACGTGTATGTTTGGGGTCTGAAATTGGACTAATCTAATTCACATATTCCTTATGGAACAAATTTCGGGCAGTTAGCTGGCACCTGAAACATACTTCTGGAAGAAAAATATCGTTAACACGGGGGTACCACTGTATTATACAGGTCTTCCGAATATACATCGCTGCAGTTTTAATCTAATGATATTGCACTTCCGCACAAAAAAAAATACTGAGAGAGAGAGTCCATTCAAAAAGTTCTTTAGAGTTTTAATTAGAACATGCAAAAGTTAGTACTGCTGCAGTAAATTAAGATATGAAAACCCAAAATACTGTTTATTGTTTACATAAAAATGTTGTTATTCTCTCTGTAAAACACAACATCTTTTAACACACATAATGACGATAAGAATGATCGGAGCAATGAATCAACTAGGATGGAACAGAAGAACTGCCACCACCACAGCCCACACGAAATCCGTCAGTGATGCCATTACCCAGCAGCACCGACACAACGCAAGTACAAGACTGTGCTATAGAGAGCTTTAAGTGAATAATAAACATGCATTATCCCAAATTTAAAAACTTGGCAAATACCATACCTAGACTAAACTGCACAGAAAATCTAATAATAAAAGGCATCATCACCATATAAAAAGATTTACATGGAAATAGAACACTTGGGAAAATTAGAAGAAAAAAAAAAAAATCAAGGTCAAATCATTTATGATGCCATTCAATTAACATAGAATGTAACTAGTGACTTCCTTGGTGTCCCTCAGAACTACACTCATGAACATGACACTAACCTGGAAATGGCACTCGTTATATTCATGAAAATAACAAGGTCCGGCACTACTAATACAGCAGGGTTGGTATCTGGCTACAGCAGTAAAGCAAAAATTGCTGTTATAGTGAAACAGCCTTTAATCATTTTCAATGCATATAAAATCTGATAACACGTTTACATGTATATCGCCATAATTAAGTAAGCATAAAGCAAGGCCTAAAAACAATGTATATACAATGCTGACACAATACTTACCTTTAAATATTTTCGCCTGAGCTTATAGTGAATGGTAATGAGATATATTGTAGGAAGTCGAATAAATGAAGAATTGGAATAGATTAAAAAACCACTGCAATAGCGAAATGCAGTAAAGAAAAGCGCTGTAAAGCAAAGCGCTGTAAAGAAGTCAAGCACTGCATAGCAAAGCACTGTAAAGGCAGCCCTCAGTACCTGACAAGCCATTCTGGAGCCTGGCTACACACCATCTTAGTTGTAAGCTGAGAGCTGTGAGGGGAGTGTGGACTTGTAGGACTTCCCTCCTCAGGAAGGTAATATAGGGAGGTGTATACACACCAACAGAGTGGCACATGGGCCCACACCAGTAACCGAGCGCTCAAACAACGCACCTCCCGAAATGCTGGCTCTGGTGCCTCCATACTGACCTAAGTATTCTGTAATAAATGTACATTATGTTGCCAACCAAGGATTAGTTAACACTGTAGATAGCATACGTATAAATAGAGGAGAAAGTTAACTTTTGTTAAGTTATGCTTTAAGCCATACTTTTTATTAGCAATATGAAGGATCCATATTATATCCTTAATGAAATTGCTTCAGTTGATAATTTTGATACTGGTAAAAAGACTTTATATTTGTATGTCAAAAACTATGCCTCGAAGTAACACAAAACAAGCCTCTCCTTCACTTAAGTGATGGAGTCCCCGGATCCTAATGCCGCAATCGATAAAACAATTTGCCGCTAAAAGTGAGCACATCTATCATGGAGTGGGCTTCTGTCAACCATATTGATTTTGCTTTTATGGTCACATTTTGCACTATTGTAGACATTTTTTATTATATATTTAAATGTTTTATACAGTAGTGTAATATGCAATAAACAGAATAGAGGAAATCAGCTCTAATATACATTATTTAGGTATGAATACTGGTCAGAAAGCCCGTCGTAAATCTGAGTCATCGGTGAACCAGTACGTCGCTAAGTGAGAAGAGAATAGAATAGAATATTGCTGAACGAGTAGAAAATTCAGGTAATTCAGTAATAAACCCAAAAATATTTCATGAAAATGTGTGTTTATATTGAAATAATAAGAATTTACTTCAGGTTTGATTAAAAAAATAAAAATACCGTAATTACTTCAATGAAAACACAAATGCACTCTAAAATAAATGCATAAAAATCTCACCCAAAATTCTTCCAAGCACAACCTTGAAAATATGCCGTCACGAGCACCATAGTCTTCTTTTCTGTTTATTTCACATCGTGACTGCGTCTGAGTTAACCAATTCCCTTTAAAAATACGTAATACCGTTTTACAGAATAATTTCGAACATGCTTGCAGCACTGCTAGTTCTGCATTATAGTCCCATTATTTAAGGGTTTATTTATGTACAGGTACACTATATACTGTATATACAGTTACACAAATTATTATACATAGTAACATATGGAAAAATACAGCAGTATTGTAAAAAATACCACAGTACAGTATTTGTAAAAAATACCACAGCACTGCAAAAAATACCAAAGTACGTACTGTAAAAAATACCACAGTACGTACTGTAAAAAATACCACAGTACGTACTGTAAAAAATACCACAGTACGTACTGTAAAAAATACCACAGTACGTACTGTAAAAAATACCACAATACTGCAAAAAATACCACATTATTGTAAAAAATACCACAGTATTGCAAAAAATACCACAGTATTGTAAAAAATACCAGTATATTGTAAAAATACCAGTGTTGTAAAAAATACCACAGTATTCTTTTCATATTTGCAATCACACAATTTACTGTGATTTCCTTCTACAGTTACAAGTGTAAATTGCCCAGGATAACCCAAAAATGTCAGAAAAAGTGACTTATTTCCATTGGGGTTTTACTAAAATCAATTAACATGAATGAGTAACTAACTCACAAATTGAGGAGGAAATGAGATGAAGTTTTAATCTATCCTCGACTATCATTATGCAAGTTGAGAGTGACATAAACAAGTTAACAAAATGGACCAGAGTATAAGTGGTACCCGCAGAGTAACGAACTTAATTCGTTACAGAAGGCTGTTCGAGTGCCGATATCGAACAAATTTGTTCCCATAAGGAATAATGTACATTAGATTAATCCGTTTCAGACCCCCAAAAATACACTTACAAAAGAACTTAACAAAAATACCCTTACATAATTGGGTTCGAGTTGGGAACTGTATCGAACCTCTCGAGGTGACCACTGTATTTATACCCACCAAATTGGTTGGTCAGTTGTGATATTCATTTGTACTGCACTGTAACTCCATCTACTACCATGTATGAACTGTTATTGCCTTATTCAATCTTATTTAATTCAAAGTTTGCCTGAATGCTCTGCATAAAGGGCATTTGGCGTGCACACCCACTATTTATACGTATTCCTTTGTACTAGACAATGTATCGTGTCAAAATAAACAAGATTATTAATAATATTATATTAATATTTATTATTAAACCACAATATTGAATTATGCTCCAGTGTATTGCAGTGAGGGCGACGTACAGAAAGTAAAATGAAAACGAATGAAAATTTTAATTCCCCGGTAAACTTACAATGTGCGTTTCATGTTAAATAAAATAATAATTACAAAGGCGCCAACTCACATGCCTAGGCATTTCGGGCCAGAGTCAATCACTAACATAGGTAAGTTTATTTAGTTAATACAGGTATCATATATGGTGTAAATTTACTTAGATAACCCAAAAAAGTCAGATGAAACGTACTTACCTATTTGTGGTTTGCAGGGTCCGAGTCCACAGCTCTCCTGGCAAATCTACAAATATATATGATAAACTCCCCAGAAAAGCGGGAATTTAAAATAAAGTAAATGATACTTTAACTACATATAAATCATTGTTTTTATTTCATTTTATGAGATACGAAAAATAAATAGTTTATTCAAGTACAAATAACACATAAAATACAGTAAGAGGCAGGGCCAGGAGCTTAAGTCACGACACCTGCAACCACAT